GTTCACCATAGAAAAACAGTTTGTTAACTTTGGGAAATAAGGTTGGATACAGCTTAGTTTTAAAATCGGAGACAGGCGAGGCCTTTTTTATTTCATTATCTAAACTATTCCACGCTTTTATAGTAGACGGCAAAAATGAGTTTTTATGAATATTAGTTTTACATTTAATTTGTGTAATGTGGTCGGAGTTACGTAGGTTGTAAGGGTTGTTGGAAGAGGTAATTGGCGGAATAAGACAACAAAGATAATTGGGAGCTATGTTATTTACCATTTTGTAAAACATTGTTAATTTATGAGCTTGGCGTCGCACTGATAAAGATGAGAATCCGGATTCTGTATAAAGTGTATTATGGGAGGTTCCACGAGGCAGGCCAGTTATCGTTCGTAACGCGTCTAAGTGTAGCTTTTCTATTTTTTGTGAATTTACTTCAGTAGTATTATTCCAAACTATATCAGCGTAGTCAAAGATAGAAAGAATAAAAGAATTAAGTATACAAAATACTCAATGATTTACGCGATAGTCTAACTTTCAAACTTCTCGGACAGTCGACCATGATTGAGGTTTTACTAATTCAAAAATTCACGTGATTGTCCCATTTACAATGTTTGTTAAAAATAACACCTAAATGTTTATGGATATTTGCATCATATAAAGGGATATCATTAAAAGAAGCGACAAGCAAAATTGGGTTGTTTTTTCTACTAAATGTAAGACTGGTAGTTTTGTCGGGGTTGAATTCGACCTTCCACTTTTCTGACCAATCATGAATTTTCTTTAGATCATTATTCAAAGTATTAAGTGTGTCGGGGGGATTATCTATAACCAAAAATAACGAAGTATCATCTGCGAATAATCTTAATCGGGAGATAATTTCATTTGTAATATCGTTAATGAAAATTAGAAAAAGGAGGGATCCCAGTACGGACCCCTGGGGTACGCCGGAATATATATTTTTAAAAACTGAGGAATCATTATTAATAATAACTGATTGCTTTCTATTTGATAAATAATTTTTGATGAGATCTAAAACACCGTTTCTAATTCCAATTGAGTTTAGTTTGTGTATCAACCCACGGTGCCATACCCTATCAAATGCGCTTTTTATATCAAAAAATATAGCTTTTACCTCACGTCCTTGGTCTAAACAGGAAGAAACATGGTTATACATATCGGTGAGTTGGTAAACAGCACAATCATTTTGTCGAAACCCAGACTGGTACATATATATAATTTTATTAGTGTGGACGAAGTTATAAATATGCTTATATATTATTTTTTCAAAAACTTTACCCAAGGCACTTAATAGTGATATTGGTCTGTAGTTAGAACATACATGTCTATCGCCCTTTTTAAAAATTGGTATAACGTGTGCCAATTTCCAATAATCGGGGAAGATGGATTTCGATATAAGCAGATTGAATAATCTTAACAGTGGGAAAGCAAGAGACTTTGACACATTTTTTAAAATAACATTATTAATTTTGTCTGGTCCTGAGGCCCTTTTACCCTTTAAACAGTGAAGAATGTCAACGACATCCTGATATTCAATAGAAAGCGGTTCAATGTCAGTATCGAGTAATGTTAGTTCAGGAAGTCGGTAGTCCATTTCATTAGGTAATAGTGATTTGTCTACTAAATAGTTATTAAAAAGCTCGGCCTTATGGTTATCCCCCATTTTGTACTTAAGTATACAAATTAAAAATGTTCATTCTAAATACACCTGAATCTCTAGGCATTCGGTAGAAAGTTAAAGAAACAAAGAGTCATTGTATGCTAAAACAAAATTATTCAAGATCGTCTGGTATTCCATTATTCGGAACCCTAACATAACCTTTACACATATTGATTATTATTGACGCGACTATATTTTCTTTAGAAAATTAAGGATAGAGTTTTAATGATTAAACACTGTCTTCCCTAAGGAACAAAAACAGTTATGTGTCTTTCAAGTTAATTTATATTAAAATCCCTTTGGTGATGACATAAATACATCTATAACAAAGAGCAGAATAATGATGATCCCAATATACAGCGGTGATAAATGGTATAATTTACACATAATGTTATCTCTGAAACGATCTATTTACCGTAGGTTTGTGAATTTGATTTAACAACTGTGCAAAAAAGCAATATCACATAGCCCACACTAGTCCGAGAATTATTTCCAAATAATCATATAATCATCATATTAACAACAGCATATTAGTTCAAAGATCCGCAGGTCGACTGGGTATTTCAATATGATTCGAAAGGTCCCTAGAAGTTCGGTTAATAATACGGCTTAAAATAGTACATAGTTGTATTGCTATGCGCAGATATAGTGCTTTGGTAATGAATACTGATGCAATGAATAAGATAGCGCTGTGATAGTAAATGTCTAGACAGAGCCGTGACAATGAATGTCTGAATACAGCTGTGATAATGAATGGGTAGATAAAGTTGTGATAATAAATGTGTAGATGGGGTTGTGATCATAAATGATTAGAATTCAGGGTTTTCGATAACCGGATTCGCATCGCATTTTGCGAATCAAATCTAGCCCGTTGCTAATCAGTTTGCTACAAAGAAGCTCACTTGATTCACACAAATGCTAATCATAGATTTTGCTTTTGTTATTTCTCACATGGACAATTTTATTTCCCCTTTTTAATTGTAAAACGTTGTTGACAGGTTTTTTTTAACGCCTTTTCGACATTTCTTCGCTAGTTTAGTCACGGTCATTTAGTATCTATTACCTATTACTGCTAATATTACGCGGGGTTACATCCCCTGAGGATTTTTTAAATGACAGGCGGATTTTGATAAAATATAATTCGTAGATTTTCTTTACACAATTTGATAGATATTATCGAATATATAACAACGGTAGGCACTGTACTAAATGACACATTTACAGAATTTATAAGGGAGATTTCAGGCAAGGAATTTTCGATCGGCAATAGCGATTTACCGATGTATCATCGATACATTGCAATTATCGATGTTTGCTCCCGATGCATTGATGCTTAAAATATTAATTGAATGAGATCAGCACTAACGAGTGAATGGCTGTTACGCCGACAAATGACATGATTGACATTGTAAATATTGAATGTTCAAAATACGAATCAACCATGAAATGTCATCGAAATTATTCCGATAGGCCTACGTTTCTTACCGGCGTCTCTCGCACTGCTTTGAAGAAAGAGTAGTTGTAACATATGAGAGAGTATAGACAGCAGTGAGCAGACCTTGAAATATTTATAACAGTAATTTTGAAATAGTGTGACTGAATTAAAGCTTTGCATAATTACACTTTTTCCGAAATTTTAATCTGTCATGAGAAAATTTCTTACACTGTTAATCAAAACTGGACATTGCTAATCAATTTTCCTGAATTTATCTAACTTGAATAGAAATTCTGTGATAATGAATGGCTGGCTAGATGAAGTGATAATAAATGGTGGATAATGATGTCAAAAAAAATACGGCGTGATAGCGGATAGCGATGTCATCCTAAGCGTCTGACAGAAGTGTGGTAAAAAGGGGGGTGTTTAATATGAAATGGAATGAAATGGGGTTTAACGTCCTACTGTACTGCTTCGAACTGGGCTAATGAAGACGGACATACGCCATACAGTGTGCTATGAGGGAAATTATGCCCGGACAGCAGCGCTACAGCCTACTCTTATATCGAATTCCAGCTGCCAAGGGATTTTTTACATGTACGCCAATGTGTACACGGAACCTCGGTATTTCGTCTCATCCGAACGACTAGACAGCTCTCCTTGTCAGGCCCTCCAATGCAAGGATCGAACACCCGACCCCCAGGATAGTAAGCCAGCGTCTTACCCACTTAGCAACCGTGGCCCCGATCTTGAATGGCCGGGGGGGGGGGAGTCTTGTGTTATATTTTGAATCAGAAGAAATAGGGTTTTACATCCACTCGACATAAACCAGGTCATTTCGGGACTAACGTATGGTTTAATTTTTATTTCAATAATTCACTTGCGCGTAGGGTCTTTAGCAGTGGGAAGAAACCGGGGACCTGGAGAAAACCCACTAGGTTTGACAGGCGACCCTACTCCTTGTCACGTACAACCGGGGAATCGAAACCACGCCAGTTGACTCAATGACAGACCTTATTATTCAACGCGCACGCGCTAACCATTCTGTCATCCAACCACCACCCCTCTATTGAATCTTCTATTACAACACAATTGGTATATACAATATACCGCTACGTGTTTGTAAAATGTTGAAACACTACATCCCATTCTGTTCTGTTAGATTATCGTTCGTTTCAGTTTGAACAAAATTTGTCATAAACATGCCAAATCATGTAAAATTCATTTTCAGGGATGGGCGACAATCGCCAAATGTTCAGGTCTCGTTTAAAGGGCAATAAAGATATTATCTTTATAGGTTTAACTAAGTACAATTCTAACATTTATTGTGGACCCACGGCAGATTGTGAAATTAACAGACCCTCAAAGTAGCTATCATCGAAATGTAGACAAAATGAAACGGGGTTTAACGTCCCGCTGTTCTGCTCCGACCGGTCTAATGAAGACGGACATACACCATACAGCGTGCCATGAGCGAAATTTTGTCCAGACTGTGGCGCTATGGCCTACTCTTATATGAATTCCAACTGCCAAGGGATCATTTACGTGCATGTCAATGTGTACACGTGGCCGGGGTTTTTCTTCCCATCCGAACGACTAGACAACTTTTCTTGACAGACCCTCTGTCCTGCATCACTGGCAACGGGAATTATGAATTAATACGATCACATTGTGATTCAATTTCGCAATTTCGTTGATGCAAAGCATTAATAATTGTGATATGTCTATATTATCGTCTCGCTCTTTCAAAGCTCATCCAATCCCACCATCCGATGATAAAGGATAAAGCACACGACCGTGACACTTTTCTCATAACAAGCGTTGTTTTACAATTACTTTCGTGTAGCTAAGCCCCTGGGTTACCTTAATTTATCTCTGATTGTTTTTCCTAGTTTCAGAATCAACCACACAGGATTTAATAGCAGAAGAACGACCCAGTTTATTTCTTTCATATTTATGTTTGCAAAGTGAACATTTTAAAGATTTTTGCTTAAATGGTAAGTATAACAATATTTGTCATTGTTATCTTTATCCATCCATCCGTTATCCGTGCATTCCTTATCCATTCCTTATCCATCCATTCCTTACACTATAACGGTAAACATCATGATAATATAGCCAAGCTCAAATTGAATTGAGTTAGTCACCAGTTTAATGAACTATTCCCAGATAATGGCCAGCATAGTATGGCAAACATCAGCTATATCAAGGTAACGATTAGAAATGTCAAGCACCAATGAATTTCATGATTTGTTGGAGCTTACTATATTTTATTATCAATATCAAACCACTACAAAACTTTATTTAGCTACGTAAACTTCTTAAATAAAAGTGAAGTGGTATCAGGTGTTCTAGAAAGGGTAATGTGACAATAATGTGTTTTTTACGTAAAAAGTCAGTATCGACTGTTAGTATTAATATTTAAAGATATGGTTATATATTTAGGAATGGAATGTGGTTCACTGACTATCAGCATACTTTTGGCACTTTGGAACAAATTTGTGATAGTTTTTATTCCTGAAATCACGAGTGCAATGCTAGGTTGTAGAATTTCCCCCGGACATTGGCGTTTCCGTCTACACTTACTTTTATTAAATTTCTAACAATCAGGGCTAGTATTACGTGTAATCTGGTGGACCCGTCCGTACAAGCAGATACATTTCATGGTCAACCATGTAGGCACCTCTCCTAAAAATCCCAAAGGTTATCCTCCGTCCTTGCCGGGCTACTAAGCAGAGGAAACTCTTGTAAAGAGTACAGTACTATGGCCACTCAACTATCAACATCTTATGCATTTAGTATCTCAACTGTCTAGGAAATATATTTTGAAAAATAAATAATACTGAAATTGTCGTGTTAGTTATTATTAAAATTTTCTGTAGTGGATTTATGGTTAAAAGTGATAGGCAAATGTGGTGCAAATTATTTTAAAATATTTCTCATATTTTTAACTGTCTGACATGAAAGTCGACTTGAAATTTTAATGAAGTTGTATTTAGTTGTTAAGGCCAAGTAGTCACCAGGGTCCAATTAAACTGACATAACTGTTCAAGTATTTCGAAAAACACGTATTTCATTCTTATAGTGATTGCACTAATTGAAAACCATTCATGTTAAATAAGTAAAGGAATTATTGGTAAGGTATTACAAGTTTCTACATACACAATGGTGGAATCAAGATTTAGCCTGAGTCGGTGTAAGTCGTTTCCTTACCAATTCTTCCAGTTACACCAGCAAAGACCAAAACGAAACCAGAATGTATAATCAGTATTGGTGTCGTGTTTATAAAATTATGTAGACTACGACTTGAATAGACTTCTGATGATACTTTGTGAAAGAACGATCGACTGAATTGGAAATCGTCTTAGTTTCTCATCAACAACCCCATTATATTGATCAAAGATTTAATGTAATACATGTATGAGTTTTATTCTGTTTACATATGATATTATAGAAAGATGTATTACATAGCATCTTCATTGACAGCTGTCATTGTACCGTTATCTAAATCCATACTACTGCACATAAACTAGAATAAAGGTTAAACTCAATATGGGAATACGTTTACACGTGTATTGTATTAGGTAGCTGTATTCTTTGTATTTTAATCTTACATTCTACTTGTACATGTAATTGTCATGTAAAGACAAAATGGTTTCTTCTCAACTATACATTTATTCATTAAGTTAGACTATCAAAGTCAAAAGTTGGAATATGGGTGTAAGATGAGAGAAGTATGCTAAATTATGTGATATTCGGGGTGTTTACAGGGTTTGTCGTTTCTTTCATTTTCAATTGTTTTTACGCCCATTTAGGAATTTTGATGATCACGAGCGAGTCAGTTACGTATGACAGCCGATAAGTACCGTGTCGCTCCTTCTTGCCCTCGCGGCAACGAGGTGCGAAGCCAAGAAGCCGCGACAAATAGTCCTAATCTGGCTCCTTCTTGTCTTCGCATCGCTACGATTAACAGCGCAAAGTCAAGAAGGCAAGAAATAACCAGTGCGAAGCCCAAAAGTCGAGTTACTTCTTAGCTTCGCCTTGTTCATTTCTTGCCTGCTTTGCATCGCACTGTTAACTCATGGCGAGGCGAAGCTGCGAAGGAGCGAGATGTCTTGCCGTCTTGCATTCGTTTCACTATAAGTCTATAACCGGACAATTTGATTAAAACACTGATCCTATTTCGTTTCATTTTACATAGTTCAAATTTATCTTTACTTGTCTTTACTAGACTAGGATCTGGAAGAGTTGTTATATAACCCACGTTATGTATGATTGAGGGATTAGCCAATGAAGCGGTCTGTTACGGCAAGTTTATTAGCGTGAGGTGCACGGAACTGTGGGCAACCCACTAAAAACATCGCAGATTGGTTAATCAAATGTCTGACGTAATAGGATCAAAAGCCGCTCGTATGACCTCTGACGCGACCTTCCAATACAACCGATTAGATCTTCATGTAGTGTAGGCCATCTAAAGTATAAAAAACCGAAACGAAATATAGATCCGAGTAGTTCAAATTTATCTTTACTTGTCTTTACTAGACTAGGATCTGGAAGAGTTGTTATATAACCCACGTTATGTATGATGTGAGGGATTAGCCAATGAAGCGATCTGTTACGGCAAGTTTATTAGCGTGAGGTGCACGGAACTGTGGGCAACCCACTAAAAACATCGCTGATTGGTTAATCAAATGTCTGACGTAAGAGGATCAAAAGCCGCTCGTATGACCTCTGACGCGACCTTCCAATACAACCGATTAGATCTTCATGTAGTGTAGGCCATCTAAAGTATAAAAAAACAGAAACGAAATATAGATCCGAGACGTGACCAAGACCAGTCTGAGTTGTCAGTATCCGTAAGGTGAAGTGGAGTATCACTTCTCGGCCTCTTTTTTCGTCTTTCTAACTTTTCCCCTTTGGTTGCTAATCTACCCCCCCCCCCTCGCCCCAAACACACACACACACATACACACCTCTACCCGTCACCACCACCCCCCCTTTTCGATCCACGCCCAGCTCTCTCTTCCACCAATTCTGTATTGTAATAGCAGTGGTGGGTGTCACACGCGAGACAGACTATAATTACCCTTTCTGCAGCACATTAAAAAACTTTTTAAAAAAAACAAAAAAACCTTATAATCGACATAGCATATATAGTTCACATTACATTCAGAGTGTGTAACATTATATCAAAGAACTTTTATCATACAAAACAGAATTATTTGCTGTAACATTAACCTCAATTGCTATATCGGATGTTTCACGATATTGCGAAAAAGAAAGCAAGTAGGTAATATAAAGAAATTTTCTGTAACATGGACTAGTTTTCTAAAATTCTTTTTTAAGAAAAATATTTCTGAAGATTATTGGTGAGAGTAAAACAAACTGCATTTAATGCAACTTGTTTCATTTATAAACAGGAAAAGGGGAGACGGGAATACTTAGAACCAAATATTTTCTGTGCGTTATTAATAATACTGTACTGGTGGAATTGGTAAACAGTTAAACAGCAGGGTACAAAAACGGTCTTACAGAATAAGACATTGTTGTTCCATACATAATTAAGATAAATGTTGATAATGATATCCTGTTAGCGAAACTGTAAATATGTAACCAAAAGAAATCCAAGAAATTGAGCGTTGAAATTGAACACATTAAAAACAGGGAATACAACGTAATGTTTCAAACAACAATTCCTGATCAAATGTCAGCTGCCTGATTTTTAATCTAAAATAAGATCGAATCTGTTCAATAATTAAAAGCACAATTTAGGTAAGACTAATTGATTTTGCAATTTAATGCCAATTTAATCATGCTTTGCATCATATTGACAAAAAAAACAATTAGTCGTTACAATGGTTCGATGATCCAGAAACGCAAACTTTCGCCTTGAGCTAAAACAACAAGGACAGAAAATTGAAGGCTCGCATTCATATTGAATTACATTGTTTATAGAGGTATTACCCATTGTTTACTGCTAAATAGATATTTTCATTAAATGTTTTCTTATACTTATTATTTCTTTCATTAAAATTGATTGGCCATATAGACTTTACAGCTGTTACTTATTATAAGGAAACATACGCATCACTGCAGTGCCGGTGCCAGACTGTTCTGCGTACTAGGCAATTACACGCACCACCCTCATCCCATCATGAACCATGAGTAAGACGTTGGCTCGCTAACCCGGAAGTCCCGTGTTCGATCCCTGTATTGACTGAGAAAGTACATAGGGATTTCCCGACGTGCCCCTCCCACCTTGTTAAGATGTAGGGTGGAGGGAAAGGCACGTAACAACGTATAGTCGTTCGAAAGGGCCCCACATTGGCATGCCCGTAAAAGAACGCTTGGCAGTTGGAATTCGATATAAGAGAAGGTCCTTGTGCCGCTGTGCAGGCAAAATTTCCCTCATAGAATCACTGTATGGCGTATGCCCGTCTTCATTAGCCCAGAACAGTATAGGACTCTAAACCCCATTTCATTTTCTACCCTCTCAAAAATGCCGGTTTGTAGAAGGAATGAAAAGCACAAAACTTAGAAATGTTAAATTAATTTTAAAATGCAAGAATAAGTAACATATCAATCTTTGATTATTTTTCTCCAATGTATTAAATATAAAACTACGACCATCAAAATGTATAAAATGTAAAATATAAAACTGCGATCATCATGCAGAATATAAAACAGCGACCATCAATTGTTAGTATTGTGCCCTTCTGAGGTGCGGCAACCTAGTTTGCATAAGCAATCATTATTTTAACTTTGTTTAAAGTAAATTTTGTCTCAGCATAAACTTAGCTAACTAGCTAGTAGTTATGCTACAGAAAGGTTATTTATGGTATAGCTTACTTGCTCACAAATCACGATATCGTGAATAAGGCAGGGTAATTTCAAGCTTTCTGAAACATCTGTTTTGTTTACTGGCCACTGCCTATACGTTAAGTGGTCATTTTGCTTAGTTCATATAAGGCACACTTATATTTACAGCTTGCTGGACATTCAATCATTATTCCCCCAGACTAGCGTTTAACACTTATGTTGTAGCACTGCTAGCTGATATACCTAATATGGAGCTTCATAAACAATGGCTATCCCGGTGACTGACTCATATCGTGGCAGAGTTCAGAAACTAGATTTACATAATAAAATCTTACATTGCAGACTTTCATTCTATTACTTATTAACTGTCCAGTCTGGTGGGTTTCCCCCGGGTCTTCCGGTTTCCTCCCACTGCTAAAGACCCCTACGCGCAAGCGAATCTTTGAAATAAAATCAAACCATATGTTAGTCCCGAAATGACCTAGTTTGTGTCGAGTGGACGTTAACCCCCCTCTCTCTCTCTCCCTCTCTCTCTCTCTCTCTCTATCTCTCTCTCTCTCTCTCTATTACTTGTTAAAGGACAATATTGGTGTCAGTCATTATCACATATTATCACATATAACTCGTGTTTTCCTTTTGCGTTCGTCACTTCCGATTGTTGAAACCTTTATTACGCATCTATCGTATTGTATTTGGAACGCGTTTAACCAGTTCTATCACATGTGATAATGACTGGCACCAATATTGTCCTTTAACTGACTGAATCGTCCATCATCTACCATAATATTTTCAGCGGTGTCTTTTTGATCGTGAACACACAGGCATTTATCCAATCATTTCGCTCATGACAGTTTAGCGTCGTGATCGTTAATAGTTAAATCTATTAAACCAATATCCCAAAACTTACGAGTTCTGTTTTCTTTATTGCTCTAAAATCATTTTTATAAGACCGTGTATTGTGTGTCGTCACCGTCGGTTGATCGGTGCATCAACAATTGGCTTGTGAACGCGATAGAAGCTACAGTTTTTGACGTATTCTTGTCATGTGGGGACAAACTCTACCGATATTCAGAGTTCCGCGACATTTCGTTCCGGAATAATCACACCTTTTCCGAAAACCTTAGGAAAGCGATAGAGGCTACGGTTTTTGACGGATGTCACGAGGAGAAGAACTCTATCGATATGAATCAGTGGAATCAGAAATAATGAACCCTGTTCATTTTCAGCAATCTAAGACTTTCTATTCCAGATATATATTGTGTACAGAAAAGCATGTCACACAATAGAGATTAGATTTGCTCAACATCCAAGTTTTCCTTTTGGATAAGCTGCGTGGGCGTATCTGTTAAATCTCATATTGTATTTTAATTATCGCCTTGTCGAATTCGTTTAGCGTGTATTAATTTTGTGTTTCACGTTTTACACACAAATGATGCTAATTTTAAGCATTTTCAGAATTCGGGCACACAAAGACCGGGCCTCGAGTTCACAAAGCATTCCCAGTCTTCAGTTAAGAATTTACTCAAAATTGTTCGCCTTTATTTTTACGAAAATATAGTCTTTTATAAATTTTTTGTTGTTTTAATATATCAAATAGGCCAATAAGAAACTATCTGAAAAGTCTTGTGTTTCTGGATCAAAGATATTTCTCATAAACAGTAATTGAAAGTTGAGTAAATTCTTAACTTAAGTCTGAGAATGCTTTGTGAACTCGGCGCGGGTCTATACTATGTACTCAAATTTTTGCAGTTGGTTTGATTTTCATATATACAATTTAAATAGATTATTCTTTTAATTTCAGATATGGAGTCTAAGTCTAACGGTCCTGTTCAAAATCTTTTGAGGAATTTAAAAGCTCAAAGGTAGGTAACAATGAGATTTCGTAAAATAACTCCATGCCTGACATGTACAAGCCGTTAAAGTTTTATTTAGATAAATACCCCGGTGAAAGCGTAATCGATTGCTAACAGTTAAAGTTTATTAGCGTAACGAATGTAAATAACACAATATACAAGCAGAGCTTATAGTGGAACAAAACATACCGCTATGTCATTTAAGAAAATTGACAACCACAACTCCCACACGAGTAGGAAACATTCAATTAATTTGATCGGTGTGATATATTGGTCCAGTGAAAGCCCGATGCAGCGAATTCGTCTCTCTAAATAAGAAATATGTAAATCAACGACGCAAATGAAAAGCCTTCAGTATTTTGCCTATTGTGTTCTACCATAAGAATGAAGGGTGAACTTTTTTCGTATTAATCAGTTGCTAATTGACATAGTGTCTGGAGATTGAAGTTTCCCCAAGAGATTTCTCCGGATCACCACTGGTCAATGACTACAGCCATCTCGAATTTATATATTGGCTTATCAACTCAATCGTTTGCTGAATAAACGACGCTTTGAATATGTAACTTATCAAAGTAACTGTAAATAAATTAATGTTTGTTGTAGTTATGACCTAGTTCAATTAGTATTGTTCTCTTATTTTTGAAGATCAAATAAGATTAACGACATGGTTTATTGTGACTACGCGTGTTAATTATAGGTTTTGCCGGTTTCTTTTATTTGTATCACTACACCCCCAAAAGTACCCAGTGTCCTACAGCTCTGATTGGGAGGCATAGGGAAAATAAACTTATATAAAATATCATGATCATCAAATTTATAGGTCTTCATTTAACGATACTTAAAGATACATTATGCAAATGTAAGATTTAGATAAAGTGCTGACCGTTCTTGCTATAATACTTCAACAATAGATAAGGCAAAATGAATATTGAAAATTCATTCAAATTACTTTAGCCTGAGCGAAGATATTAGCCTTTGAACGTTTGAAGCATAACCTCGTTTCACCATTTTTAGATTAAATCATTAAATGACTGAACCATTCTAATCTACTTGAAATCGGACCTATTTGATGGCATCGAAGCGTGATTATGGTCTTGTCATGTTAATAAATGTTCAATTAATAATTTATACCACATTTACGGCATAAAGACAGGCCTGCAATTGGTAGATTTAGCTCTTGCATAATGTATGTTTAAATGTTCCCAACAGCTTTAATGAAGCCTGAACTGGGTCGATCAGTTAAAAAAAAAGCATTATATTAGTTGTAATTGAATCATATTTTTTTTATGTATTGGCTTAATCTAAGCTAGCTTGACATGGGGTGCATCTAAGTGATCATATGAGTTCCACTTGGCGGGATGAAAGAAATAATAACCGCGCTATGTGGGTAAAATATGAGATCTTGGGATGCAGTGTTATTTTCGGAATAATGAAATAATCAAGCTATATAAGTACTTCCTTGCACCTACGTGTTACATGGTTTAAACCCAAACGAATTCTTTACATTTTAAATATTTGCATCTTCACTGCCCAGGCATGACCCCCACAAGAGAAGAGGGTTAATTAAGTCAGCAAATAAAGCGCGGAAATAAAATAGCTGCTTTTTCCTGTCTTTAACTCAAATATATTTAGGTGCTTGATAGTGCATACTGAACTAGGACACAAGCGATTTGAGAATCCCGATCGTGAACCAGGTGTGGAAACTCACCAGTTGGGTTTATTTACAAAAGTATCATAGCAATTCGGATTGTGTTTTAAGAATCCTTTGCCTACCACTAAGCGACTTTATTGACAGAAAATATTTAGGGCGGCTCTCGCAGGCGTAAATGACACGGTTTCTGTCCGAAATGAAAACAATATGGAGGTTTGGTAATCCATGGAATGTACCACGACCATTTTGGCAGGTCGCCGTATAACTGTAAAGTTTTCTGTTCTATGTATAATTTTGAAATAATTTTAATGTCATTTCAGACAGCAGAAATCAAGACAGTTGGGTAATGATGACTTAGTCAAGTTAGAAACGCCGACGAAACGAAGAACAGAAAAAGAATCTGGATTTTATAGTAACTGGTGAGAAGATGACCAAACGACCAATGTATTTCCATCTACATTACATTGAATCAAACCGTTTATCATCAACTTATTTGTCATATTATTCATTTTATGTCCATCAGACTTGACATATACAGTTCATTATTTCGAACTCTGTTAACTCGAAAACCTGAGACATGCCGAATTAATTTAAAATCGCACAGATGTGAATGGATGGTACTATTTTAAATGTGATGAATACGGATATAAAGGAATTTGTAACTTCTTTATGATTTCCAGCAAATCCTCCCTTTCATCATGTTAAAACGCTCTTTAATTTGTTTAGATGAAAATATGAGAATACCCTTGTATATTGCCTTATTAGGTTTAATGTTTTGTATAATTGCTGATTATAGCGTATTAAGAATATCCACATAGCATTCCATTAAGCTAAATCGTTTATGAGCGGTATAAAATGCCTCCTTTGAAATAGAACTACACAATTTTATTGATAAGTGAACAATAATATTGGTCGTTAAAATATAACTTATCCCACTTCGTCTCTCAAAAGCTAGGTTTTTTTTAAATTGTATTGCCATCACATTCTTTTAGACTTTAAATGTTTTATTAAATTATATTGTTACTTTTCTATTAAGTCCTACTTAGATATCAAAATTATTTCTTTAGGACTTTCTTTTTTCACGGTTTTTAGTTGAAATTTGGTTGTCATACATTACAGTATCCAGATGGAAAAAAAGGTTAATAAATTGAAAAAAAATATTACATATTGAAACTAGATAAAATGTCCTGTTTTGTTATTATATCAATACTGTTACCAATCACAGGATGACTTAAAGTTCGGAGTTGGGTGGAGGGGTGGGGTGGTATGTATATATAACGTTACAAGAATAAATTCTTTTACCAGATTTAACGAAGGTATATGGGAATGGTAAAGATGTGTGCATGACGGTTGTAAGGATTGAGGCAAACAATGAAATGAAATGAAGCTTAAATTCCTATTATTCTGCACAAACCGGGTTTATGTGCAATGCAGTTTATCATTAGAAAAATTTGCCCTGACAGCGGCGCTACGGCCTACTCTAATTTCGGTTTCCAACTGTCTAGACAATGTTTCTTAAGGTATACCCTCCATTCTGCACCACTGGCAAGGGGAATAGACGCTGGAAAATACCAATGAACCTTCTAGGACAGAACCGTGATCGAACCCCAGAACTCATGGTCAGTGAGCCAGAACTATGTCCACTGATACACCGTGGCTCCCGTTAAAGAACGAAAATTACCTGAAACATGAAGTCTTGGGCTAGCTTGTTTAAAACAAATAAATCCACGTGCGTTTTTGTATTGAATTGTGCTGATATATATGCCCATAAATATTATATTTGGTATCAATATAGCTATCTGCATCTCAGGGACCCATGCACCAAATTGCACCAATCTGTTTATGGGCGCTATGTTGTTGTCAGCAGCAGACGATAGATATTGACCTTAAATGAATTACCTGGGCGTGTCAAAAAGATCATATTATCTTGTCTCAAAGGGTTTACTGATCACCTACACATAACATTAAAAATAAAACAGTACCCGCCAACCATACCCATTATAGAATTATAGCAATTAAAGTTCCTTGGTTCGCCATCAGTGGATAAGAAAAGAAATACATTACGTATTAAAACCGGAAACCGTGGGTTGTAAAATTAAAGGAAGAAACAAAACAGCTTCACATTATCTTTTTATATCAAAATAATTTTATCATATTTTCCTGACAACAACAAATTAGCGAAATTGTTCATATTACAACAGACACTGTAAAGTCAGAAATGGTTCAATACAAGTTTATTTACGGCTGCTTAACAATGCAGCTTCTTCGTACAATTATCTTGCTTGTTCATGTCTGGTCAAACATGCATTATGCAAGAGCTAAATCTGCCTATTGCAGCTCTTTCTTTAGGCCTGAAATGTTATCTAAATTATTAATTAGACATTAATTAACTTATCTAGACCATAATCAACTCTCGATGCCATCGATAGCCTGCGATATTCACTGGATTAGGATCCGATTTGCTGCTCAACTTTCATTCATGATCAAATCATGAAATCGATCATCGAACCGACTATAGTAATGATGATTGATGCTAGGCCGAAAATCCAATCGCTAAATTCTCGGTTCAAAGTGGATCAATTTCACTGAAAGTTTTAGAAATTCCCTTTACATTATCTAGTTTTTAACTATTATAGTGAGAACTTCCAGCTCTTTATCTAATCTCCCATAATGTATTTAAGCTACATGGATTGATACTAGTTGCGCTGGTCAAATTGCACAGCAAATACGCTTAGATATGAATAAGCAATTTGTCTGACGCTTGGTCTGGAGGACATCGTTTCCTTGTTCGAACTTTATTTTACAAGATGACTGACCGGTGTCATTTCTGCATTAAAGCTTTTTTGAAATCGTGTATACAAGATTGCAATGTAATTACACTTCTCTCTTGGTCCACAAAACAGGTAATACGTCATACGCACGATCACAAATTACACCGCCTAAATTTAGAAAGAGTATGTAGCACACAAGATTATAAACTTTATAATTGTAACAAGTCTACCGTAGAATTAATTATTAATTGACGTATTTTGATAATTGTTGAAAACTATATCAGAACTAATTATTAAAAAACAGAAGTCAAAGATATTTTTTTTTACAAATAATCAACTGAGATCAATATCAATCACATAGTATTGTAATTAAGACAAACAAGCATATAGTTTTTTTCTCAACTTAAAATTCTATTTATATATATATAGCACGGACAACATTCGTAAAAAACACAAAAAAAAAATCAATTGATAATCGATCATGCAATATCTCCATTGTGTCATCGCCATTATTGTTTCATATAAAGTGACTGTTTCACAATTTCTGACGCAAAAGTTATCACACTAGCCCTTATTTAGTTATTTTTCTTGCAACCAAGTTAATTTGGCAAATTAATTATTCGTGCAACATTTAACCAATTATATTCTTAAAGCGCCATATTTTGTCGGCTTCATTGTCCAGGACTATTATATTCAACTTACCAATCGCCAGTTAAAATATTGGTTGATGAATACAAGTGTTAAATTAATGGCGTTTGGTTTATCCGTGGAGTTGGAAGATGTTATTCTATGCAGAAATATGACAAATAAAGGGAAAGCATCACACGCACCACAAAGATTACGCAATAGATGAAGCCAAGTGGTAAGGAATTTCCAGGAACAATTTCCGATTCTTGTCATGCATTCCGGGAGTATAAAAAAAACTTCTGCTGTGTTTCAGATTCTTCTGATTTGTAAACAGGCCCAAGACCCAAGACTCAACCACAATAAAGCTATCATTTATTATAATTACAGAAAAAAAGATTATATTTGAAAAAATTAAAAAGTAAAATAACACTTGTATAACTTATTTTATCGGCATTTAGCAATTTAACATATTAACACAAGGTACAAGCACTTTAATAATCAAAATGTACGTAATCATATCATTTGATTCTACATAGGATAAACAATAAACTGAAGGTGAATCTATTAGACCATATAACCTATGATGTAATAAATACCTTTCAATACGCACAAACATTTTTTTCTCATGCTAATTATTTTATATAGCGATCTGAAATACTCCACGAGACCAGTGGCATATATCTCAGAAATACATGCGTGGGATATGTGGGTCTAATGAGAGAGAGAGAAATGGGGTTTAACGTCCACTCGACTAACATATGGTTTAATTTTATTTACATAATTCGCTTGCGCGTAGGGTCTTTAGCAGTGGGAGGAAATCGGAGGACCCGGAGAAAACCCTCGAGGTTGGACAGGCGACCCTACTCCTTGCCACGTACAACCGGGGATTCGAAACCACGCCAGTCGACTCAATGACAGACTTTATGATATAGCGCGCGCACGCTAACCATTCAGCCCCGTGGGTCTAATGTAATACTACGGTCCTTACGACCATATTGTATCTTTAACTAATTATTTGGTTCACACTTTCTATAGTCAAATCACACGTACATAATGAATTAAAAACAGTGATATTTTGGTAAAATGCTTACCATTGTCAAAATATCCCATCAATGTGTTTGGTAGACCAAATAAGGTAATGCTCTGTGTGTATATTTGACGATGGAAGAAGCCTAACTGTGTGTGTGAATATTTGACGATGGAAGCTTAACCGTTTGCGTATATTTGACGATGGAAGCGTGAACAAAAGTCAACAAAAAATCAACAACAATGTAGGTATATTGGTAAACCATATGGTCAAGGGATATAACAAGTGAAGAGCACCGAGGAAGAACTATCTAAGTTACTTTTTCAACGAACACCAGTTAATGACGCCATCTGGTAGCAAATTGTATAAGCTTCCTGTGGAACAATCAATTTCAGGTAAAAAACGATCAGAGTCACATCGAACCAAGGCCCTTCTGAAATGGCCTCCCGGACAAATACAAGTCCATCGTATTTTTTTTACCTTAATTTGGCTGAAAAGTGGAAGTCAGTTGTTGTACTGGTAATTATGATTTGTATTAAACATCATTTTGAAGTTGTAATTAAACCCACTCGTTGTTCTGTTCGCGCCAGGCTTTCTCGTCCAAAAGTCTGTTTGCCTTTCATGCGAAAAGACAAAGATAGGTTGCCAGGCAACGAAACATACGCCCACATACGTCCGGGCAGTCAACAAGAGTTGTCGCATATTTTTACTTTTTTCGGTAATGAAGCATTTATAATACATTAAAATCTGATTAAGAGTAACAACTCATTAAGTAATTATCAGAAAACCATTAGAATTTGTTTGGTTTTTATAAAGTTCTGCCCCATGCTAACGTTTAGCATACGAAACTTTTAACATCATGGATTTATTTAGCTGTTCATCAATATACTTAATTGTTCGTCTCAAGACCTTAAACTCTGTATATCAATCTGAAGTCAATCGGATGATAACTTTAGCCTCTAGAGCGTCACAAGATTTTTCAAAATGATCAAGGGCTATAATTTTGGCACTAATTATCCGAAATCGTTGAAAACCAATATGATTCTCCATGTCATAGCCTCAAACACTGTGTATAAATTTAAAGTCAATCGGATATTAAATTTAGCCTCTAGAGCGTCCACAAGATTTTTCAAAATGATCAAGGACCATAACTCTGGCAGTAATTATCGGAAATCGCTGAAAATCAATAGGATTCTTCGTCTCATGACCTTAAACACTGTGTATTAATTTAAAGTCAATCGGATATTAACTTTAGCCTCTAGAGCGGCAACAAGATTTTTCAAAGTGATCAAGGGCCATAACTCTGGCAGTAATTATCGGAACGCTGTAAATCAATAGGCTTCTTCGTCTCATGACCTTAAACGCCGTGTATAAATTTAAAAGTCAATCGGATATTAACTTTGACCTCTAGAGCGTCCCCAAGATTTTTTGAAGTGATCAAGGGCCCTAACTCTGGCAGTAATTATCGAAAATCGCTGAAAATTACTAGGCTTCTTCGTCTCATGACCTTAAACACTGTGTATAAATTTAAAGTCAATCGGATATTAACTTTAGCCTATAGAGCGTCTACAAGCAATTGTGGACGGACGGACGGACGGGGGCGACAACAATATACGACCACATTTTAATGTGGGCGTATAAAAATGTGACTTAGATCGTTTTTCCCCTGGACTCTTAAAGTGTAAACCATTTTTAAAAAAACCAACAGGAACTGGTCATACAAATAAATGACCATAGCTATTATTTCCTTTAAAATAAAATGTACTGAGAACAGACTTTGGAACATTAGATTATATAGTTAAAACGTTATATTTAGTCTGTTGTTATGTCGTATTCATTGTGATTGCTCATCGCGGTTTTATCCACCGATTTCGTCTGCAAAACAATGCGATAAATTTGATTTAATAACGCACAATAGACTACATATACTATAGTTCCATAGTAGACCCGACCCTGGGGTCTCCTAAGAATTAAGTTGATTTGATTCAATGTTACTGTCTATAAACCCAGTGATACATAACACATAATAGGTCTATATTACTACAATATACGATGTTTAAATAAGGAATTATGATATTCTTAAACAAGAATAATAATCTAATAAAAGATATAATGATATCTATAAATCATTCATTTTAATACACATGTAAGAATGGTACCAGGGTGTCAAAGGTCCTGAAAGTATGGAAATGGTTTGAGGGTGTGACTTGTCTCGAAGAGTGGACAAAAGTGGGGGTTTCAGATGGTCTGACAGGTATAAGTAGGAGTTCCCTGTTTACGTAGTTCACATCTCTCCCGGAACATCAATGGTGTCTTTAACCTTCGACGACTTCCCAGGTGAAGCAGTTAGTAAGTTTTTACGCGAATTACTGCAGGAACATTTAACGGGAAAATGGCATTTTTTTTTTAGTTTATTGCAAAAAGTAAGAGGTCCGGAAAAGTAGGGCCATTTGACACCCTGTGTTAGTGTAATGTACATATAAATTTCATACCTTGGAGTGATCATTTCTCCAAAAATATATTTAAACAAATATTGGATGAGAAACGAATAACTGTCACAAACCGTTAATCTTTATATTCGTCGGTCTACACGTAATATTATAATTTGTATTTAATGTACATTTACTTGTGTGGAAATACAGCTTCGTGATATTCGAGTCTCTGCACATTTCTTTGTCGCCATGTTTACATTTCAATTTTGATTAAATAACAAACTGTAATATCGTCAAAACGTTGAATTGTTTGGTGTATATCAATATTACCTATATACTTGCATACTTGTTTAACTGAATAACCATGGAAGACCATTTGTACTCGTTGAACCACAGCGACAATTGCAAATTCTGTAATCACAAAGTTGCTCTTAAGGGTTTTCGTTTCTCTTGTACGACACCAAATAATTCTCTCTTCGAGCATTCTTGTCTTCTCGGATATTTCCGCCGCCTCGTAAAGTCGACGATATTTCTTCGAATGTTTTATTTTTGGTCTCGGGTAGGTAGAGATAAATAAAGATGAAGAAGACTAACAAGAATCCAGTAAACGGGATGAATGAAAAGTTCCCCAGACCCGTCTAAAAATACATAGAAAAAAAATATGTATAATACAGTAAATCAAATCACTTGAGAGCATCGGAGTTAACGTCCACTGGGGCCTTTCGGCATTATCAATAGTACATTTTTATTTCCATACTTCACTTGTGTGTACAGATTCTTTTGAGCAGTGTAAAGAAATCGGAGAGCCCGTTGAAAATGCACAGTGTTTAACAGGGTGTCTTACTTCTTGTCACGCGCAAGCATGGATTCGATTCTTCTCGTGCACAGACCTTCTGATCTAATACGTACATTAACCGAAAACTCAATTCCCCCATAACACATTAACAAACATAAGAAAACTATAACTTAAAACATAAATAGCGTTCTAAAGTGCGTTCTAAATAAGTAAGACAGCTTTTGTATCTTAATGTCTTTTTTTATATCTAAAGTCACTTGATAAGATTTATTTGCCTTTTTTCGTCTTTCTCAATATATTTATTTAAAAAGTAAGACGTCAACTAGTAAGAAAGCATATATTTCTAGAGGAACACTTCCATTTAGATATATGATGTACAATATCCAATTACAGCAATCTATATTTCAGTTCTATATTAGTAGCCTATTATAGAACGTAGTTACTTGGTTAAGAAAAAATATTTTGCTCATACTATAACAGAGCATCTCTGAATTGCGTCATGGTAATAAAAACTGCGTGTTTTATTCCAAACTAATGCGTTAAGGGATACTTAGATTTAGATACATGATCGGGTTCCATGGTCACTGGGTGAGGAAGACATTCGGTCGCTAATCTTAAGGTCCCCGCTTCGCTCCGGGTGTTGGTCGAGAATATTCCTCGGGATTTTCTGGCGTGTTTTCCCTTGTCAGAGATGCATGACGGACGAACTGGTTCAGATGGAGTGAAACACCGAGGTCCCGTGTGCACTTTGGCGTGTACGTAAAAGAACCCATGAGAGTTCGCCAAAATCGACCAACGACAGCAAACTATTTCTTATTGAACAATCTTAGGCATAGATTTTGTTACTCTTATTAAAGCGCTTTACATTATGAATCTTTCTATGGCTATAGATAAGGGGTGTTGGATGGTCGAAATGGTCTAAAGCGTGCATTTAAGATCATAAGGTCTGTTATTAAGTCAAGAGGCATGGTTTCGATCCCAAGCTTGTGCGTGATATGTTTAGGGTCACCTACGCATCCTTGGGGAGGTTTCTCTGGACCCCCCGGTTTCCTTCTACTGTTAAAGCCCCCCTACGCGCAAACGAATTATTGTAATAATAAAATTGTACCATATTGTTATTCACGAAGAACCCCACTGCTCTATCTCTCTCGCGGCTTTAGATAATAATACCCCAGGACAATAACCCAATATGAATGTCAATGGAATATTCATTTTACTAGCAGTTATTTATCAGTAACAAAGAATTTTCAACTGAACGTAATTTAATTTTTCAGTTACATCGGATATATTAAGCATGGATTGCATGAGCAAATTTAGACAATCTGCGAAGCCATCGCTGGGAAATAAACGTTATAACTTCAATTTACGAGTCGTACAATTTATAGTGATTGCAAAGAGTTTAACAACGCTCCTTGGCCTCACCATATTCTATGGTCATGGTTTGATTTCCGATAACTAAGTATTGGTTAATTTTTATTTGATAATGATGAACTGTAATGAAATACATTTTCTTCTAACTAGGTTAGAATTTATTACCTTCATGTGGGGAAAAGCATAACCAACACCAAAATTGGCGACCCAGTTGACTAAAACAGAGACTGAGATAGCAGCTGATCTTGGGCCTTGTGAAAATAGTTCAGCTACAATCAGCCACGGTATTGAACCTACAAAATACAAACAAAGAATTATATATGAGATACAAAATTCTGAATGATAGTAATGTCCATCACAGATGATACTACAGCTGAAACAACAATCTAATATAAAGAAATGTTGTTTAAAGTCTTACTTTTTTTGACCAACCTGGTTATGAGCTTGTACTGTGTGGGAAATTTGACCCCCAAAGCCGCACAATGGCCTACTCTAATTTCAATTTTCAATTACCAAGGCATCTATGTCGTGCTGCTGCAGTGACCTTAAACGCATCTACACAACTGACAAGGGGAAACAGGCTGTAAAATCCTGAGTAATTTTCTCGGTCAGTGACCCAGTGTGATGGAACAAGCTCTAATTACACATTTGCTTCGGGAGAGTAACTGGATGCCTAAGAAAGCAAAGAAATGGATTAAGACTAGTAATTATTTCCATTTCCTGATGGACGGATGTAGTGGGAATTATAAATAGACAATTTTTCCGTTAGTTTTTTGCTCCCATTTTCCTGCATTTACAATTGCATAGCAGTTTGGGGTAATACTGGTGATATTGTGGAGGAATAGGGAGTGTAAAGTGTCTTTGTGTAGAACAGTCATTGCGTAGGAGGTGATATTTTGACCCCAGTCAATATCAAATCCTCCTAGCAAAATATCTAAACGGTCAACCCCGTACAAAACTATAACGATGGGAGTGCCAAATGCGGCCCCCTATGCGCCTAAAAAGATACAGTCTGTGATGTTACAGTCATTTGACATTGAAGTCGATGGTCAAATAAATGGCTAGTCTGAGTCAAAAGATTTCCGACTTTCGCTACTCTAAAAAGAGTAACCTCCCTTTCAAAATTACAACCCGGGGCATAAATGGAACGATGGCGATAGCATATACAGTCGGATAGTAAAAGGGTGAGATTCATTTTAAATATTTGCCACCATACATCAGGAATTGGGTTTTGCGATTCAATATCGCAAAAGCTGGTACTAACGCAGTATTAGTTTATATGATTGAACTTTCTCTTCATGCAGTGCACAATAAATGGCATTATACAAAAGAGTAATAAACATAATCTACCTGGTCCTAAAGCAAAGAATAGGACGTAAACAAGAGATGCTACAATTGTTACTATATTAAACCATGGTACCAAGTGCTGAAAAACAAAATGTCATAAAAACCGGTCAATTTTATCTATATCACTATATAATGACATATGACATGACATACACTTATATTAAAAGAGCAACATTTAACATAATCGAGCTTGTTCTTTTTTTTAAATATAAATTGGCTAGACCACTTTCATTCAGTTCAAAGAAAGTAATGCATTGATCTGATCTGTTATTGGATTAGTGATGTGGAGCTACGGTGGCTAAGTGAGTAAGACGCTTTCTCGCTAGCCTGGAGGTCGCGGGTTAGATCGCGGCGTGGTTTCATCTTGTCAGTGGTGCAGGGCGGAGGGCCTGACAAGGACAGTTGTCTAGTGGTTCGGATGGTACGAAAAAACAGAGGTCCCGTGTACACATTGGCGTGCACGTTAAAGATCCCTTGGCAGTTGGAATTCGATATAACAGTAAGACATAGCGCCGCTGTCCGGGCAAAATTATCCTCATAGCACACTGTATTGCAGATGCCCGTCTTCATTAGCCTAGTGGGGGGTTGGATGGCCGAATGGTTAGCACGTGCGTGCGCTGTATCACAAGGCCTGTTATTGGGTCAACTGGCGTGGTTTCGAATCCCCGGTTGTACGTTTTTGGGGTTTTTTTTATAAACAATATTTTTATTCAGGATGTTTGAATGGGATTGGGGAACAGGCTTAGACTATGTAAAACCCCTCTCCCTAGATAATATACATACATAGTATTAAAAAGGAACAAAATGGGTGTACATACACAGTTAAAATGACAAACACATACATATATGAGTGTAAATACATATATAATGAGACGGATGGGAATGTACACTATATACTGTAGGCTACATTGTTAAGTAGATTTAAAATTAATATTGTAAATTAAACAACCAGTAAGCAAGATTAAAATCTGTTTGACATATCGATAAAATTGTGGACCTGGTTAAAAATATTATTGTTTATATCGATACAGTGGGTTGAGGACCCGAACAGGAGACAGTTAATGTTTTTGAGATCGTATTGTAGTTTGTCTATGGTTTCCTTTCGTGCATTTGAATATACAGAGCATTGCAAGAGGTAGTGATCAGGGTCTTCAAAAATGTGACCACAGAGGCATGCGGGGCTGTCAGCAACATGTCTGAGGTATTTGTGGCCCTGTAGGTCAGAACATCGGAGTCTAAGTTTACTATGAATTATCTGGAGTTTCCGCTGACCGTTATAATAAAAAGATGGAATTTTTATATCTGATTTGGAGAGATGATCGGAGAATATTTTAAGAGTTCTTGAGTTTCTTACAGGGGGGCTGAGTTTATTCCACTCTCTTATGCTGGATGGGATAAATGATTTAGAAAATATTTCTGTACGACATCGAATTTCTTTTATTTTATCTGCGTTTCGAAATGAATATGTATTTGTTGGTTCCAGATTTATGAGATTCTTAAGGTAAGGAGGTGTAAGGTTATTTATAATTTTGTAGAGTAATTTTACTTTGTGTCGACTTGAGTGGAAGAACGTGACAAGAGGTTGTACGTGACAAGGGGTAGGGTTGCCTGTCCAACCCCGTGGGTTTTCTCCTGGTCCTCCGGTTTCCTCCCACTGCTAGTCCCGAAATGACCTAGTCTGGGTCGAGTGGACGTTAAACCCCATTTCTCTCTTTCTCTCTCTCATTACCCCAGTTGGAGCAGAATAGTACGACGTTAAACCCCATTTCATTTCATTTCGATTAGTGATGGAGAAAATGAATTGGGGGTTAACGATCTAATTTTGTGTACAAAGACGTGGACATACGCAATGCAGTATGTTACCAGGGAAATTATGCCCAACAGAAGCATTTCTACAGACTCTTCGTCGAATCCCAACTGTCAATGGTTCTTTTACGTGCACGGCATTTAATACACGGTTGAACGCCGGTTTTGAGTCCCATCCGAACGACAAGTGGTTATACCTTGTCGTGACCCCACAGTTCTAAAAAAATGACAAGGAGAAAAACAATTGCTTCGAAATATTAAACAGAAGCAGAAGTCAGTTTGTGTACTAATATTGGGTTAATAATATTGGGTTAATTTGTGGCTTACTGGTAAATGTAAAATTTTCAGCGAAGACTGACTCAATCTCACTTAATAAAATCGACAATTTTACGTTTGAAGTAAACCAAAGGGATCCATTCATTTTAAATATGATTTCGAACAAGTTTGATCAGCTCTATCTGCGTCATTGGCAAAAATTTAAGCACTGCGATATTTTACAGTGTAAATGGGGATAACAAGTAAAGTTTACTAGCGCTATTATTATTGTTTTATTGTTTGTGCCTATATTACTACGCCTAAACATATTGAGTCATAATAAACCTTAAGCAATAGAACTATATCGTACCTCACGGGTGAAAAACACACTTACAATATAGCCATGGTAGCCTCAAGATTATTTTACCCTAATAAATATCTTGTTTTACTAGTATAATAATAATTCCACAGCAACTTGATTTGAGATAGAATGTTTACGATGTGGAGACAGAATTGTATACAGAAATCGGAGATTTGAAAACCATAGTTCAGCCATCAATATGACCGTCATTTCTTTCCGAGTTAAAATCATTTAAAACAACATATTGCTGAAATAGCGTTGACGGTCACATCGTCTACATATTATCTCAACCGTTATCAACAACAAGGTAAGTTCAAATGTTTACCATTAGATAGAGTAAGCCATTCGACATTTGAAAATATTCTACATATCCAAAACATGTAATGATCTGATGAGAGGATCTTAAACTACCGTGTAAAATTCTAGGTTCGTCTAGTTCTTTTGAAATAACAACAAAGGTACCGGCTACTAAAGGGTGGCGCCATACGATCACACATCTGCTTATCCAAAAGCAAAACTTGGATGTTGACCAAATTTAATAAAGATCTATGGTCCTCCGAAAAATCTAATCGCTATTATGTTCACAAGCGTTTTTGGACAAATAACAAATGTTTGCAACTGATGACTTTAGATTGCTGAATGCTTTTATAGAAAAGAGGGGTAAGTCTGCAACGGAAGATCACAGAACATCGATAGGATTCGTCCCCTCACCACTCCAACTCTTAAAATCAAATTATAAAAAAGAAAACTGTAGCCTATCGCGTCAACAGTGTCTTCGAGGAGCGGTGAAAATCGATAGATTTCGTCGTCTCATCACCCTAACTCTTCAAACCAAATTTTAAAAAAATCTTCAAAAACTTTATCCTCTAATGCCCTTTACAAGAAATCATGATTTCAGGACAGAAACTCCAAAACGTACGATAAGAAAAAGCTGATAACCGGTTGTGTTTGTATGTGTGTGTGTGTGTTGTTTTTTTTTTGGGGGGGGGGGGGGAATTAGCATGTTGTTATACATCAACGTGCTAATGAGGTAATCTTGAGATGTTGGTAGCAAAAGAATTCACTAGCTTCCGATGCAATGGTTGATGTTCTTCATATTTGAAACGAAATGTACACTGAAATTGGAAGAAGGCACTAAACTTTAGTACTTTGATTCTATTTGCTTTGTTCCAATCTGATTAACATACAGATCTATATTTCGTTTCGTTTTTTTTATACTTTCGATGGCCTACACTATATGAAGATCTGACCAGTTGTACTGGAAGGTCGAGTCAGGGGTCGTACGAGCAGCTTTTGACCCTATGACGTCAGATATTGACGTTTTTAGAGGTTTAGCCACAGTTCCGTACAGAGCACGCCAAGTAGTTACCGTAACAGATGGTTTCATTGGCTAATCCCTCACGCTATCCAGAACGCATGTTATATAACAACTCTTCCAGATCCTAGTCACAGTGTAGTACAGACAAATAAAACGAAATTTTGAACTATAAAAAACGAAACGAAATAGGATCTGTGTTTTAATCAGATTGCTTTCATCGGACAGGTGTTGTGTCACAACAATTTAGATTAGTACTAAACCAAGCCAAATATTGACGTACCTTTAAAGTTAATGTGAGCGTTATTAAAATGGAGAAAACAAACATTCCACCCAGACCTGCAAGATGTAACGTACGTCTACCAACTTTATCCATTAACGGTATGGTCACTATGGTCATTACCACCATAACAGCACCAACTCCACTAGTGGCATGCACAGCAGTGTCACTGTCCAAACCAGCGTCTTTAAAAAATGATGAGGAATAGTAAAAAATCTGAAATTATACAATATATTAACATTATACTCTAGGCCAGTGATTCTCAAACAGTGTGCCGCGAGATCTTCCTAAGTGTGCCGCGAAATTTGGAACGGTACACTAAGAAAATGCGAAAAACCAGTGATCCCAATGAGTATTCACCGGTGTCGACTGATAAGTTCATAGCTGTGTTTTCTTTATTTAATTAAGAGTCATTATATGTGTCTATTACTAGTCTCTGTCTACGGTTGTATGCCGTTTGACTTACCATGTTTTATCTTGAAAAAATTCAAATATTTTTCATATATATTTAGCCAGGTGTGCCAGTAGTTTTTCGTGTGTTCCAAGATGTGCCGTTGGCAAAAAAGGTTGACAACCACTGCTCTAGTCCCAGGCCAATAAAACATTTTTAACTGATTAATAATTAAGCAAATTTCTAACTCGGTCACTGTCCAAAATAAAATAGATTCAAGATGTTACAATACAAAAGAGTGATACATTTATTTTTAACCGAATATTTCGACCCAACAGCAATCGATTGAAATATGAGTAAAACACGAATTATAAAGGCGTTCTAACCGTTCACTTCCAGATAACATCTATCTGCATATCCATAAATCAAGTCTTATGTGTTCTTATATTTTATTTTTTTATCAAATGTTTACATTGGGAGCCTCTCGGCCAGAATATCCTGGGTTCGAATCCCGGCATGGGTCGGGAAAAGCTTTGGGATTCTGTCAGGGTGGCGTCAGGGTGGTCGGGGATTTTGGGATGGAAAACGTTTGAGAACCACAGATCGGTGCAATATGCTAATAATATACAATGTTACTCTATATCTAAATATCATTCAATGATGAAACAAGATGCAATTAGGAAATGAAACACCCCACAAAGATATCTCAAAAGCATTTAGTATTCATGTAATGTATCTAGTCCACTTCTGTAGGGGTCACTGTGGCTCGCTGGCTACATGTCTAGCGCAGGTTTACTAACCAAGAGAATCCCGGGTTGGATTAAGTTCGAGACGAAAAACCCGAGGTTCTGGTATACTAACAGCTGGAATTCAACACACTACCTGGTTTATATAATATTCGGCTTCACACATTTCATTTCCACTTACCTAGGCGAGTTATATAAAACAGACTATAATTATTCACACACGCGAGGTAAGTAAGTAAATATATTGCATGGAGATATAACGTGTCCATGACTTACATGTGTATACAATAGCGTCCGCTTGCAGAATGAAGTAATATCGCAGATACTTCCATTATATAAAACCTGACTTAATTACATATATTCAAGTCAATTAGAATTTCGAGTGCTTTGAATTTAATATTAATGTCGGAGTGATCTGCAAAGTCTATACAATTATCTATTTTATCAAGCTTCGGTGAACAGAATGCCGATAATTTATTTTAAATCAGTGTGTAACAGCCCGAATTAAATTACAACGACCGGAAAACTAAAAATAGTTGCCTGTTATGTAAACGCCTGTTATATAAAAATGATAACATAATCGATTTATTTTGTATATCAAATTTACCTCGACATCTGGCATCTACACCACCAATAGTTGACGATGTAATCTTTGGTAGTAATTTGGGTTTAACATATTGGTATACATATCTTTATTTAAATAATTCACTTGGGGTCTTAAGCTATGAGTCTAAAAAGGAGATTCACGAGGTTACGCAGGTGGTCCTACTATGGGAAATGTAACGAAATAAAATGGGGTTTAACGTCCTACTGTTCTGCTACGATCGAACCTTACTATGAACAGGCAGGAATAACAGTGGGTTTATCGTGGAATTAGGAATTACCGCGGAATTACTATTCACACTATCAATACAGAAAGGCCCTTCAGCAGACGCCCTATCACTTTCAACATGTACCCACGCCAATCAACGATGTAGTGACACACTGACAGTTTACCTATAATATGGTTAGGGTTACTAGGCAACATATTATATATACGTTACATTTATTTTAATGTCATGCCCAATGCTTATAAATTGGTGGGTTCGTTTTCAAGAATTTAATCAAAGGGATCCTTTTAATTTTCCCATTTTTTAAAAGATGTACTTATTATTTTGTTGTCAAGTAATCGTGTATTGTTTGGCTGATAGCTACTTTTCAAACGAGAATAAGACCGAAGGTCAAAAAAAATAATTATCACTTCTAAATGTGGGCAAATAAGGGTAAAAAAATATCATTTATATTTTAATTAGAAGATTAGAACAAAAAATAAAAATCATATTATTTCCTGACTTTGGAGATCAAAGTAAAATAGAATTACAAACTTGTATACTCATTGTTCACGTTTATTCTGATTAATAAAACTGATGTTTCATAATATCGCACATTCAACTAGCATTTCCATTTTTGGGGACTAACGTATGGTATGTTATTATTTCAGCGGGTTGAAACCGGAAAACGGAGATAAAACCTATATAAAATAGAATCATAAGCTCGACAACTGAACCCATGATGGAACTAACGTAAAAGACGATTCACGTCTTTCGCATCGGTTGGAATTAAAAATTTATAATAAAAGATGCGTTTTAGAACTGATTTTATGAAGGCGAGAGAAACAGATTCCAGGCGATAAAAATAAAACTTTGTGCGATGTAACGAACTAAGGTTATTGTGGTTTAAAAAGATGGAAGTTTTGTACTGTCTAGCGGTTTTATTCACGCTACCGATATTTCATATTATTAGTGGCGGTGGGAATAGGGCTTTATGCTTTAGAATATTTATATATTGGATATGGTTTTGAATCACTATTTTTCATTTTCAATTTAAATAAGTTCTCGGTGCGCTCAGTATTTGGGTACGAAGACACTGACTGTTACATGTACTAAACATACCCCTGAAGATGATATTCTATACCTATCTGTATATACGCAAGTTTGTTTATTTATCAGCTGAAATGGGTTAACATAATATGTACATTGAAGTATATATTTTCTTCTTTTAAAATGTAATTGAATTTTCCTATGTCAACGCGATTCAATTTCACATTGTATTCCAGGATTATACATTTGACTAAAGGAGCTACACCGTTAATATTTGGGACCTAGAAATTTACACAAATGGGTCGCAACGCACATAATAATGTAATATTAAAGATACATTATGGGAGATATTTATAGAGAGTTGGCCATTCTTGCTATAACAGTTCAAAAGTAGATGATGAAAGAAGAATATATTGAAAAATTCAGTCAAATTACTTTATTCTGAACATAGTTATCATCGTTGTAATATTTGCCTAGAAATGGTAGCGAAATGTGTCTGCACCTTCGCCGAACGTTTGATTGATAGGCGTTAACTCCACCTACATATCTCGATTATCAAGTAAAGTTTTCAATGGCATACGGAAACGCTTTACAGCGGCCTCGCTAAGTACACTCTATCATTTAGCCTCGATCTAACTGACGTATTTTCATCAGGTTACCCCTTATCTGATTTAATCAATTAGTGAAATCCTATTTAAATCCGAGCTGTAGCCGAGCCATCCGTGGGTCTACAGAGTTGATTTTGGTCTTGTTGTTTAAATAAAGATCTAATTTATAATTTCTATAACATCTGAAGCCTAAATTAAGACTTGCAATAATCAGATTTAGCTCTTGGATAATGCATGTTTAATGTATATAAACTAATTTACATTCAATAATGTCTGTTTTGCTGTAATTTCTAATTAGTTATGGCAATCTCTAGCGTCTGGCTATTCCAGTCTACACCGATAGTATTTATTGCGCATGCCCTCCAGATAAGAATATGGCATCACCGTTTGACATAATATGTGGAATATGTCTAGCCTCGTTCCTCGAGTCCCTTGTTACAAATGGCGCTGAAACGCAGAATGGTACACAATTCGTGTACCAATGGTAAAATGTTTATTCTGTCTCAAATATTGGATATCAGAAGTCCTTTTTTTCCCGGTAAGATCAAAAAATCAATGCTGATTGAAACTGACAAATAATTCGTGTTTTCAATGTTGAAGACTTTGGATGATATTGGGTTAGAGACTTAGCTACTTTAATGTTTTAAAGCTAAAAGATATCAATTGGTACTTTGAATGTACATTAACTCGTGGTCATGGCTACAACGTCAATATCATCATACATGATCGTTGCTAATGACATCTTTAGTCTTTAAAATTAAATAAAAGAATTGCCTGAGTTTGTGTACAATATTCGCCTGCATAAACTCTATCAATATTATGCTTATTCATGGTACTAGACTAACAATCTTTGTCGGATTTCTTTTATAACTCCACAAGAGACTAAACAGTAAATAACAAATTTCTCAAGCGTGAAAACAAACATTGCCTATATTTCTTTGATAAAGAAACTGTCATACTGATATAAGTTTTAGAACCTATAAGTAGAAGAGGCTATGACATATCACGCGACTGTCTTTATAATATGACCCAATTTATATGCTATAATAAATAAGTTGACATGATACTAAGTAAACCGTACTGTAAACATTAAGGGGGTTTGGTTATGCGACTATTTCTAAAGGGATTGTTTACTATAAAGCAAGGGTTTTTCTTATAACGTTTTGATACTTTTAAAGGGGATAACCTCATTTTCTTTTCGACTATCGTCTAAGAGTAACTTCAAATGTGCATCCATTGAGTTTGTGTCGGTATTTGTCCGGCATCGACAGTCAAGTGTCATATGTGTGTCAGCCAACTCAACTGTCCACGAGGTAACAGGGCAGTGAAAACGAAATGTAGTGAATGACAATGGGAATTTTTTTTATCAACTTTGAGTTCTTATCTATATGATATTCTGAGGGGAATCATATATCACATGGGATTTTAACATTATTGACCAACTTTGTTGCAATTTTCTATTAGAAAACTAACAAACACAATATTCTCATTCAATTGGTCTCTACGTGTAGTTGTGGGTGTATACGATGTTTTTTTCATTTAATAATTTTGATTTGTAAGTAGTGTTCCGCGGATCCCAGTCAGTTGCTTCCTTGGTATACTTTACTAGTATTTCTCCTTTTGGTAGAGCTAGCTAACTTTATATGAGTGTATCTTTGTATATATATTATTATATAATTTTAGTTAAAGTAGTAATTGACCAATGTCCAAATTCATGTCTCACTAATCTTGCAAGTCTTTTAACAGTTTGGGTTTCTACTTATTGTAACGATATATATTACGTAATTATACTTAACACGCGTTCTTGCTATGTTCATATCTTTTTCTGTATTTAAACATGTGTCCTATGTACAATTTGCCGTCTTCATTAGACCACATTTCATTTCATTTCCTATGTACAGTTTAACATATCTGATCAAATATTATTATATAATTATTTTAATCCTAAGCTTGTATATTATGATGTTCTATATTCTTCTGTAACTTTAGTCTGGCGACCGACTCGCCCTACCGATACATATCTCGTTATTGCGTTATTGTGACCGTAAGGTTGGGTTGGGGGGGGGGGGGGCTAATATGTTCAGACCATTTGGATCTCTGAGTGAATAATCACACACTTACAGCAACGATTCCCGAAAACTGCTGCGATAGGTGCATCACTACACTTAGTATCAAAGCCATTCTAAGATTTCTTGAAGTTAATAGACCCCATATATTCACCTGAAAATGAGATGCATGTGTTGATATCAAAACGAATTTGAATGCCAAAATACTAATCAAAATCAAATTGTATGTTATTCAAAGATTTGAGATTTTAATTCATAATGAATATCATAATAACTAGTTAAATGTAACGATTATTAAAATTACAAACTTAAATGACATACATTACAAACTGAAAAGTAATGACGTTAATAATTAAATATCATAAAATACTTGGTTTTAAAATAATATAAAATAAACGTTTTATATGAATAAAATTAAACGTAATGATTTAAACTATACTATTCAAAAAAAGTAGGGGATATTTGATTTTGGGGGCATAATACTAAAATATGCAAATGACTACGAAAAAAGTCACTATAGAACCTAACAGAAGAAACATTTCCAGTTACATGTGACGCCCAAACGCACCAATAGCTACCGCATGGAATGCATGTGATGCTTGGGGTCATCATGGGGGTCCAACCCAAGATTTGCACGACTCTGACTTTGAATGTTACAGTCATTGTGGCATTGAATTCCAGGGTGGAAACATCAGTTTAATTGTTTTAGTGACCAGAAAACAAATTTTGATATGCGTCGGCATACCCAAAATGAAAGGTTACGTGCCCTTGGTATGCTACAGATCGGCACAACACAGGCGGTTGGGGCGCGGACGATGAATGTTTCTCAGTCTGTCATAAGCAGGCTATGGTCCAGACACCGTGATACACAATCTGTACAGGACAGACCACGCTCAGGTCGACCAAGGGCGACAACTCAAGCCCAGGATCGATTTATCCGTACCTTGGCCTTGAGAAATCGTGTCATCACAGCAAATCAGATCAGCGCTCGTCTTCAAACAGACACTGGTGTGAGAGTGAGTGGCCAGACGATTCGGAATCGACTGCATAGGGGTCACCTTCGCGCCTGACGTCCTCGCGTGATCCCTTGTTTGAGAGATCATCACATTCAGGCAAGACGTCGTTGGTGTAGGGATCGTCAACACTGGGATAATCGACGCTGGAGCAATGTGATGTTTTCAGATGAGAAAAGGTTCACTGTTGATTTTTTGGACAGACGTAGGAGGGTGTGGCGTCGTCGAAACGAGCGCTTCCAAGACGTTAACGTCATCAGACATGATCGATTTGGGGGTGGTTCTGTTATGGTGTGGGGAGGCATCACTGTTGCTGGAAGAACGGCTTTACATGTTGTTGCAGGGCGTGTTACAGGCCAGTACTACCGGGACAACATCTTGGCAGTCCATGTTGTGCCGTTCGCACGACGTCATGGCCGCCGTTTCATCTTCCAGGATGACAATGCAAGATGTCACAGGGCCAGGATCGTTACAGGTTACCTCCAACAACAGAACATCACCACATTACCTTGGCCAGCACTGAGTCCCGACCTCTCCCCCATCGAGCATGTCTGGGACATGCTTGGACAGAGGTTACGTCAACGTCAACAACGTCCTGCCAATGTCCAAGAACTTGCTGCTGCGTTGCAACAGGAATGGGACAATCTGGACCAAAATGACCTTAGACGTCTCATTAGGAGTATGCCACGTCGGATCAATGCTTGTTTGGCAAACAGAGGAGGATTTACCCGTTACTGACTTGGTTGTGATGCTGTGGTAACTTTGCTGTTTGACCCCGGGTATCATTTTACCCTTATAATGGTCAGTCTGTGCCTTACTTAGTCTAACGATCATTTGGAATAAATCGATGAATGTGAACTTCATTTCATTTTGTCATTTGTTTCTTCGTCAGTTTCATTAGGTGACTTTAATAACACTTAAAAATCAAATATCCCCTACTTTTTTTGAATAGTATATCATACAATTACTATAGTTTTATAATAATATAATAGTCATTTGATTTATGTTCGACAACTGTCATTATATAGAAATATCGATGACCAAGGTATGCTTCAATATGGCATCTTTACCAATATACATAAAAATAAACGTCTTACTTTTGCTTCAGATTTTTGAGCTTCATCTTCAGCTTTCATTTCTAAAATGTCCTCTTCTGCATCACTGTACCCACGTAACGCAATCAATGCTTAAATAACAAAATGTGTATAGATATTTGAAATGACTAGATTTGAAATAACATGCTTTTATGTCCTATTTCATTTAACCAGAAAATATTCAACAACGAAGTTAGTATAGGTATTGATTTAAGGAAACTATATACCCAGGGGCGGATTGGGGCCGGGAACCGGCCCGGGTTCCCGTGTCGGAGTGGCCACTTTTACTGACCGCCCGAACGGTGCTCTCCCCCGGGAAAATTTTGAAAAATGAACCCCAAATATGCGATTTGATGGCATATCTGATTATAACCTCTGTCTATCTATCTATCTATCTATCTATGTTCTATATATATATATGTGACTGTCGTTTGTCTGTCTGTCTGTCTGTCTGTCTGTTCGGGGTTGGCGGCTACACTAGGTCTGCCCCGAGTCTGAAATTTGAGGTATAGGGGTAGCTCGGACCGGGGAGTAACATAGGCCAGGTGGCGTTAGTCTACCACTTCCGGTTTCGGAGTTATGACCCCCGAGCGAAGCCGGTCTGTTCGGGGTTTGCGGCTACACTAGGTATGTCCCGAGTCTGAAGTTTGGGGTATAGGGGTAGCTCGGACCGGGGAGTAACATAGGCCAGGTGGCGTTAGTCTACCTCTTCCGGTTTCGGGGTTATGACCCCCGAGCGAAGCCGGGTATCCTGCTAGTATCTCATAAATCGATTAATTTAGGCCAAAACCACTACCTGCAAGTAATTTACAACCATCAACCTGTGAAATTATCATATCGTCATAATATTAACGTATTATCATTGTATCGTCAAGAGTCAAGAGAATTTAACTGGTTAAAAAATGGGACTAGTTGAGAAAATTTTGACCATTTGATTAACCAGTTAGGAATATTGAATAAGTAGGAATATATTCATTGAAAAATGTCCCATTTTGGTTGCCGGGAGCACTAGTTCATTCCTCTTGTGATAGAAGGCCATTAGACACATTGGTACAGAGTGACGAAAGTGAAATTCATTTGACACACTACATATTGATTAATGAACATAGCATTTGTTCAGATAATGAATATTCGAGTATAAGGCCACACAAATTTAATTATGAGATTTGCGTTACCCTCGACATTTTTGTCAGGAGCGGCGGGCGGGAATAAAAATAAAAAAAAAATTGATCTTGGACGCAAAATATAGCTACCACGACAGTGTCGGGTGAATCCGATGAAATTTTCGGATAAAATTCAGAATCCCCATTGCAGGATTCCGAATTCCGGCCCACACCCAGCACACCCGGCCCAGAAAGTCTATTATACCAGCCCATTCCAGACTCCAGTGATGGCGTGGCGGCCCGTTAAAGCCACCGGCGACATACAATACCCCCCCCCCCCACCATATAATGTTCAGCACAAAAGGTTTTTTCAGACGAATTGGACAAAATTATTTTTTTCATTTCCGACCGGCCCAATCTGCCCTGTATATACCAAAATCACAACTCTCACTCAATTAGATTCAAAGTTATCGTACTCCAAAGTCTCGACCAATCAAATTGCTTATTAATCTGCTTAACCTTAAAGATGTGCCTTATCGAACTTGGTCAAGCTATTGATATTTATGTAACGAAACTATACACCAAGTTTCACGATTCTCACTTAAACATACATTATGCAAGAGCTAAATCTGCCTATATTGCAGGTCTTTCTTTATGCCCGAAATGTTATCTAAATTATTAATTAGACATCAATTAACTTATCCAGACCATAATCAATTCTCGATTTCATTGCTAGCTAGCCTGCGATATTTACTGGATTAGGATCCGATTTGCTGATCAACTTTCATTCATGATTTAATCATGAAATGGATAATCAAGACATGTTTTTTTTTATCGTACCGACTTAGTAATAATGATCGAGGCTAGGCCAAAAATTCTATCGTTAAATTCTCGGTTCAGAGTCGATCAATTTGACTGAAATTTTCAGCAAATTCCCTTTACATTATCTAATTTTTAACTATTATAGTAAGGGTTGCCAGCTCTTTATCCAATCTCCCATAAAGTATCTTTAATAGGCGTTCACATATATAATAAACACCTATACCAATTTTGAACATTCTAGCTCAATTAGTTATTGTTTCGATGCATACCCATTTGGGGGGCTTTCGCCTTCGCATTATACAAAACCATGGACTACAAGAATACAGCATTGTTATTTTAAGTCATATGCACATTAATGTTAACTGTTATACATGTTTTAGTTTTAACTGTCACACATGTTTTAGTTTAAACTGTTTGTGTGTCTACATTTGTAGAATTCTTTTACGACTACAGACTGCTGTATCGGACCTGTATATCATGCTATCATCTGTAGACATGACTGAGCTATAGTGTGACATTTGTATCTGTGTCAGTGACAGGAGTTTTTAGAACAATGACACTCGGGGGAAACATACAAATTAAATCATACATAATAGATGACACGACAAGTCATTCTTACAGTTTTAAAGGGCAACATGACAGAGTCGAAGAATAATAACAATTTTTATTATTCAAATTTGAAATAAATACGACCTGTTTTTTAAATGATAAATTAAAGACACGCAAAAACGAAAAAAAACATCCAATGGGTGAATTCGAACAATAGCAAGTGGGCTATGTAGATCATGTGGGTACAGCCTAATTCAGAAAACTGAACCTAGCAAAATTAGGTTTGATATCCACTTTATGTCAATGTTTGTTAGAAAAGTCAAGTACATGTATATGGAGCAGGCCTAAGTGACATAAAGATGGCGGCACAAAATCAATAGAAAGTAATACAAATGTTAAACAGTAATAACCCCCAGGATTGTTCATATTCTACAGACGGCGCCAAGTTGATATAAAAAAACTAGCTTGGGTCATGTTTATGTAAAACAGTTGTTTCGGTTAAAATGCATTAATCTATTGTTATTTTGTTTCCTCCGCAAATTAAATGTTTAAAAAAATATAATTCTCCCTAATATGGATTAATAGGTTAGAGCAGCCTTACCTTTTCTAGCGTTTGCTTCATCTTGTTTAGAGATTAGAAGATGTCGAGGACTTTCAGGACAAAAAGGTAGAATTATAAGCTGTAAAACGCATGGCACAACAGCTAGACCTATAAGAACATCGAATCAAATAATTACATATAAAGATATTGTTTAGCTGATCCAAGAGAACATAAAATACACGGTCCATGGACAGGTAACTCTCATCGTATTGACTTAAATATTAAATTCATGCTATTTCTTTACACTTTACTTTTCGGAACATTCCGACGACCCTAAGCTTTATAACAGAAACGTATGTTTTCTTATATGCCCGTTTAGCCCCTAACCCTTCCACAAAATATATCTCCACGCACACGAGAAAAGGGGAAAATTATCTTAGTTTTTATACAAATATTCTGTCATGCAGATTACTAGACCTTTCAGACCTCAACCTCGCGTTACCTTCAACCGGCCATAAAAATCCCCGCGCGAATCATCCGGCGTCGGAATAAATAGAATTACAAAAAAAAAATGGACTGATCATAAAGCCGGATAAGAAGTTTCGTGATTGAGTCGTAAATATATGTTCACTGGAAAAAAAACGCCGTACGAAATGGTTGGGTGGGAAGCTAAATGTTAAGTTTTTTGAGGGGACGGTGGGAGAGGCGTGTAATACATGGTTATTGAGTATTTGTATGATTAGATGCGAGATGTGAGGAAAAACTTTCATGCCTGCCACAAATCCACCAAGCGTGCTCATGCCTACCCCCAGATTACTAGCATAATTATATTTATCAACAAATGTAATTATCATACAGTTTAATAAATATAATATACATGTACCAGTAAACGATTAAGAAATAAACGATATGATAAATTTCATTACTATCTAATAGATTTAAGTCGCAGATGCTACTGCATATCATTGTAGACAAATAAATTTGTTTAATTTTAAAATCAACATTTAAACCATAGATTATTAACATAATGTCCACCAGCAGCCAGATTAGTACAGACGTATAATGGTATCAGGTGTATGTATACTGATATCAGATGTATACTTACACTGTAATGGTATCAGGTGTATGTTTACTGGTATCATATGTATACGTATACCGTAATGGTATCAGGTGTATGTATCCTGGTATCATATGTATACTTATACTTTAATGGTATCAGATATATACTTATACATGTACTTTAATGGTACCAGATATATACTTACACTTTAATGGTATCAAATGTATGCTTATTATATTACAAGGGTATATCACAAAGCATTCTCAGACTTAAGTTAAGAATTTACTCAACTTTCAATCACTGTTTAAGAGAAATACCTTTGACCCAGAAACACAAAACTTTTAACACAGTTTCTTATTAGTGTATTTAATGCATTTAAACAACAACAGTTTTATAAAGGGCTATATGTTGGTTCTAGTAATGTGAACAATTTTGAGTAAATTCTTAACTTAAGCCTGGGAATGATTTGTGAACTCGGGGCCAGATGTATACTGGTGTGAGACTGGTATCACATGCTGTTTCGCACACATCAAACCATTCAGAACTTAAACAAGTATGAACGTACTATGGACCAGACAACGACAATATCACATCTATATTAGAGTTGGTATTTCACATCATATCATAAATCAAACATGTTCAAATGCTCAATTGTACAAGGAACAAGCATGCTAAGTTTCATGTCGACCGTACTTGAATTGGTGGTGCCCTAGACTTTTTTCAAAGAACAACAACAAAACGAGTAGCGCTTGGGGTAAACACCCTGATGCGAAAATGATCTTACATCCTGTTCATAAAAAAAATGGGGGGGGGGGGTGTCGATATATGAAAATTTGTAATTTGGACTGTAGGTGCTGACTGGATCATAACCTGACTACATTCACGATGCCGATCAAAGATTTTCCCAGATCTAAGATGCATTAGCCAGATCGAATATACCCCACCCCACCATTGACCTGGGCCGGCGTTAATCAGGTTCAAGCATCGATTGCTCTCTGTTTAAGTCTAAAGTATCACTAATAAATCATGTGATTATACAATGTGATAGTAGATGATGATTTAAAGTTATTTTATCGGCGTGGCTGATATAGATAGCTAAAAGTTTCATTCTAATAAACCGAAATGTGAAGTTTATCATTATATGTAGACACACACACAGATAGTCTTTATCTTTAACATTAATAAGTGTAATCATTAATACCCCACCCCCCATCGATAAGAAGGTAATGTAGCTCTTGTGCTAACTGACGATTATTGACATTTAAACAGGAATTTCGAAAGAGTTCCTCGCTATATATAGTCTAGTCATTTCGAAAATTAAATCTAGAATACTCTGACCTAAAGAGCATTGTGGAATTTCAATGAAGGGGACGATAACTTCATGCACTGATACTTATACGAGCTTAACGAAATGCAGAAAGGTTGCCAGGCGACGAAACATCCGCCCAAAGCGGGTAATCAGTTCTTACAGACACCAAAAACTGATCAATAGTAACAGTCCATAAAATAATTATAACCAAAATTTGATTGGCTTTTAGTTCTTCCTAGTGCTAACATTTTTTACAGAAACTATGCACTGGTAATCAGATGACGCCAAAAGCGGCTTATCCGTTCGTTCAGTTCACCAAGGTTGTCGCATATTTATTCAATAACATGAAAAGAAGATCACCATAACGTGTGGTGATAAGGATAAAACATTTGAACGGCCAGAGAGGACATAAAACAAGCCAACAGTGGGGCTGATGTCCCCCGCCGAAATCCCAGAATAAATAGATGACACAATTAACTAATTGCACATTTATCTTTTTCAAAAGCATCGAGCACCAATCAGATTGAAGTCTCTACTTTACCTAAGCAGAAAGTGCTCAGCATCGAATTTTGTTAAGGTTTTGATGTAATGAAACTATACACCACTATCAGTCAATTAGAATCAATGTTGTCGAGCTCAACAGTCTCGACCAATCAAATCACTTATTACTCTGCTTACCCTGAAACGAAAATGCCCATTATCGAACTACTATATAGTTTCATCACATCAATACCATGACTAAGTATATACCAAGTTTCATCACTCTCACCAAAGTTATCGTGTTCCAAAGCATCAACCAATCAAATTTCTTATCTCTGCTTACCCTAAGCAGAAAATGCTCATCTTCGACCTCCATCAAGGTATTTACCTAATATACACCTACGCCAAGTTTGAACATTCTAGCTCAATTAGAAGGGGGGGGGGGGTTATGTCCTTAAACGTGTGACGGACAGTCAGACAGACCTATTTTAATAGTCCCTTAAGGCAGGGGACAATAAATATGACACTAGGCTTTAAACGTTGAATTTGGTAGTGCCGTTGATCACTTACCAAGTAAATAGTTCCACAGTTCACTGGTTCCCATCACTTCAGGAAATCCTAGAATTTGAGATACAAGTATTCCACTGACGACACCTAATTGATGAAGTACACCTAAGGCGCCTCGGATATTTTGAGAAGCAATTTCAGATAGATATATTGGTGTTAACCCTGTGATTAAACCTGTAAATAATTCACGTATTAATAATTTAGTATTCAATTATTTCTATGGTCGGTTTATAATACTCAAGATAGGCTAGAGTATTGGACTTGGATCACTCCTGTTTTGTGTACATGGCTGACAGAATCTGGCATATTATTTTATTTTTTAATACTTTCCAGGGTGTCTGAAGAAGTTAGAGAGTACCAGGAAAGACCCACGCGGTTAGGCAAGTGACCATACCTCTTGTCACGGACGACACCTCTTTGGATTTACATAGCACGCGTTGGACCTTGCCCCCCCCCTCCCGCACCCCCCCCCCCCCACACCTCCAGACCCCAATGGATTAATGGATTAGGAGAACATCTCTACACCTGCCCGTCTATGAGTCCGTTATACCTTTATGGTCAACTTTATATACGAAGATACTAAAAAAAACATTTCGGTACAATTTTGTTGACGTTTACTTTTTTCCCCATCCGTGGTGACTGTCCAAATTTAATGGCTACCATGCTAATCATCATAAACAAAATCTGTCAAATTTGGTTATAAACCACCAAAAGTGACGAGGAAAGCTGAACGACGGGCAGGTACATGAGAAAAAAAATTGGTTTAAAAATATACGGAGATTAATTTATAAAGTTATATCCTATAAAATAATCTATTTTTGTATATGTATTTATTAACACCATTTTCCGTTAAAAATACACGTCCTAGAGCTTTATTAAGCCACGTATTATTCATTTTAAAGTGTATAAGAAAGTGTATTGTTATTGTGTCTAAACTGTACCTACATCATAATATTTACAATTTACAACAATCAACTATTCTTTTTTAAAAACATATTATACTCTTAGTAAAAATATAATGGCTAAAAATTAACTAACAAACAAAGAACACTATAAATATATAATATGTAAATCTATAGCAACTCTTTAGTAAATAATAATGATAATAAAAAGTATTGTTTTCTTCGGTGAATAATAAAACAATATTAAAAGATGAAATTAAATTATATGAATGATTATGTTTTAAAACCAATGTATCACACTAAAGATACGACGTTTTATTTCTTATTTTGTCTGGGGGGTTTTTTTATTCTAGATTATCTCTTTTGTCAAGTGGATGAAGGGGGGGGGGGCGTTGTCACTGCACTTATTAATCCCGCTAAACAGATGTAACATTAAAGACTTACCACAGCATATCCCACCTAACAATCTACCAACAATCAACATTTCGTATGAAACTGACATTCTGCAGAAAAACATCAGTGCTGCTGAAGCTATACCACATATCGTATTCAGCAATGATCCATTTTTCCTAACAAAACAGTGAACGAGTCTAATTAAAATGTATTTCCACATTTCGTGGATGAAGGGGATGGGGGTGGTACCATATGCCTAGCTTGTTCCTCAATCCAATTTCTAATATTGTTTATATTACTTTATTTTTTTTTAGCTTACTCCACTTCAGAGAGGGATGCCTATTGGCCTATATCTCAAGACATTAGATTGGCTTATCATCAAGGTCAATGGTATTATTGTGTTATCGTCACAGACCCGGACTACATTAAACATGACATTGCCAGACAAACAATATATAGGCCCAACAGCTTTTTGTAGGGTATATGGCTTTCTAATTTTCAATAATAGTGAGTTGAACACAACCTTATAATATCTGAACTGTAAAGCGTTTACAGTGTGACACCAATCTGATTAAAATACAGATCTATAAATTATTTCGTTTCGTTTTGTTTTTATACTTTCGATGGCCTTCACTACATGCAGATCTGACCAGTTTTACTGTGAGGTCGTGTCAGTGGTCATACGAGCGGATTTTGACCCTATGACGTCAGACATTGATTAATCAATCAGCGTTGACGTTTCTAGGGGTATACCCACACTTCCGTGCAGAGCACGCCAAGAACTCGCCATTATAACAGACCGTTTCATTGGCTAATTCCTCACATCAACTACTGAACTAGAACGCCTGTTATATAAACAACTCTTCCAGATCCTAGTGTTGTGAAGACAAGTAAAACGAAATTTTAAACTATAAAAAACGAAATGAAATAGGATCTGTGTGCTAATCAGATTTGGGTGACATGGGCAAAAAATCGTTACGCGATTCAATTTGAGATAAGATGCTTAGAATGAACTAGCCCAGCAAATAAAAAAAAACACACTTCGAGAACTGTGAAGCGTCTACAACAATTATAAAACCTGTAGTGCCATACTTTGAGAAGTGAAATTAAGTCTAATTTAAAGCAGTTACCTTCCAAATTTATCAGCCCATGTTCCTGCTAGAAGACCACCCGCTGTTCCACCGATAGCAAAACTGGCTACAATTATAGCAAATAGGTTGGTCTGGGTATCTACACTCATTGGGGTACCATCTCTTTTAATGTTGGTCTCATTCAAAAATTCTTTGATTTTCTAAAACAAAAAGGTTTTTCTTAAATAAAATTAGTTGCAATTAAGCAGGTTGTGGTTAAACAGGTTGTGGTAGTAAGTTATTCAGTTTACAATGATATCCCCATTTTTTTACATAAAAGAAATAGACACAGAATATTTAATTAATCTTTAAAGTTAGGTCTCCTTCTGGGTAACTGGCACGTCTCTCATAGTTGGTTATCATTAACTTAGTATTATTCTACATGCTAGAAATACCAGTCGCAAAGTTGCTCAGTAATAACAGTAATTGTATTCCGTAGAATTATGTCCTTTATGTTTATCATATTATTGCTTCACCTTTTTTCATTGTCTTTCGGACCAACCCCCGGCCCAATTGAGTTTTTCAACAACCCAGTTATTTAAAATAAGTTTGCAGTTCGTATTAATTTATTTATATATTACATTTCTTACTTTTAATTGACTATTGTATTGTATATAATGGATCTCGGACATTTTTACTGTAGCAAAAAAGTCGTCGATAATATCCGTGCACCGAGTGAAACCGCGACACCGTAAAGGTGATGAACTCTACTTACAGCTTCCGGTGCATTGATGACTCCCGTATTGTAGCCAAACAGAAAAGATCCCATCACAGCTCCCAATACTGAAATAACCAACCGCAAGGTTATTTTCTAAAATACAAAAAAAAAAAAGATACAACAGTATTAAGGGTGTAATGGAACAGTATCAAAACTAGCCGCATGAATACTATACATTCTTTGAACGGCATTAAGAATTGGAACATAATCAAATAACACACTATTTATGGATATCCATAAATAGTGTGTTATATGAATACTATACGTAATAACTACTAAAGCCTCGGTGAAAATTGAAGAAAACAAGTACAGTAAACGAAAGATAAAACAAAACAAAAATTTCAATCTTTGGTGTTCCCTGTTATTAAATTAGTCTTATCTTCATGGTTACGCCAAGATGTTTATGTCTTGTTTGTTCTGCCCTGCCTCGAGTTCTGTCAATTCTAGTTTATTTTTGTTTGATGTTCTTAGTTTATTCAAAAAAAGGTCTGGTAAAATATGAAATGCAGAATAAAAAAGAAGAAAGAACAGGAACGACCATCTGAGAAAACCAGAATAAAAAAACAAAAACAAATAGAAAATATAAGGAGCAAGGGGGGTAATAATAACGAAATAAATCGACCGATAAGGAGGTAAACGGCAGTCCAATTGTACCCTTCGGTCAATTTATGACCTCCATCATAAAGTCCCTAAACCTAGCGATACATAGGTACACCACGCACACGGAAGCTTTAAATCCAAAGACACTCAAGATAACTTCACAAAAAGAAAAACAAACAAGCCAACAGTGTCCCCCGCCGAGATCCCAAAATAAATAGATGACAGATATTAATTAATTAGACATTTATCTTTTTCAAAAGTACTGAGTAATCAAACTGATAAGCATAAAATATTCACGATCAAACTCCGTCGGGTTTTGAAGTATCTGGTACTGAAACTATACACTAAGTTTCATCACTCTCCATCAGTTAGAATCAAAGTTATCTTGTCCCAAAGCATCGACCAATGAAATTGCTTAGCTCTGCTTAGCTTTAGCGGGAAATATTAATCACTGAACTCAGTCAAGACATTTGTCTAATGAACATCTATACCTCAATTCAAAGCAGAGCTGTTATCTTCCAAAGGCTTGGCCAATCAAACTGCTTATCGCTACTTAGCCTAAGCAGAAAATTTTCATCATCGAACTTAGTCAATGCAGTGATATAACAGGGGAGGATCCAGGAATTTTTGCAGGAGGGTGTTTGCCAGGTTCTCGTTAAGGTAATTTGACAGTTGACAATGCATGATGCAACCATCGTCTCCAAATTACGTAGGCATACATACACGCTGTGCTTTTTAACGAGAGAAATCCAACACCCCGTTTGACCTCAATTTTTATTATGCATTAATAGGATCACATTGTGATTCAGTTTCATTGATGCAAAACATTAATTGTGATATCACATGTCTATATCATTATCTCGCGCTTTGAAAGCCCATCCCACCCCGCCATCTGACGATAAAGGATAAAGCACACGACTGTGGCACTGTTCTCATAAAAGTGCTGTTTTACAAAACAATTTTGTATAGCTAAGCGGGGAAGGGGGTGGGCACCAAACAAGGTATTGATGTGATGAAACTATACACCAAGTTTCATCACTCTCACTTAATTAGAACTAAAGTCTAATAGCATCAACCAATCAAATTGCGTCTCTCTGCTTACCCTAAGCAGAAACGCTCATCTTCGAACTCCATCAAGGCATTAACCGAATAAGTTTGAACATTTTACCTCAATTTAAAGGAGAGTTATTGTGTTCCAAAGCCTCGACCAATCAGATTGCTTATCGCCCTGCTTACCCTGAGCAGAAAATCCTCATTGTCGAACTTAGTCAAGGTATTTATGTAATGAAACTATACACCAAGTTTCACCACTCTCACTTAATAAGAACTAAAGTTATCGTGTCCCAAGCATCAACCATAAGCCGAAAACGCCCCATCAATGCATTCTACTAATAAACACCTAAGCCAAGTTTGAACATTCTAGCTCAATTAGAAGGATAGTTATCATGTCCTAAAAAGAGTGACGGACGGATAGACAGACGGATCCCTTTTTATAGTCCCCTGCTTTCTTTGAAAGGCGGGGGACAACTATATCAAGATGTTTGGGATAACGGAGACTAAAACATGCGCATCATGCCACATTCTGGAAAGTGGATCTTAATGTGCAATATGGAGGGCATAAATTTACCGAGTGGTAAAAACGGGTTGCCGTTTACCTCCTTATAGGTCGATTTATTTCGTTATTATTATCCCCTTCTAGGAAGTAATAATATTGGAACGGGTGAAACCCCGGCTTGTTTCAGATCCCATTATTATATTATCTTTATATACTATTCAAAAAAAGTAGGGGATATTTGATTTTGGGGGCATAATACTAAAATATGCAAATGACTACGAAAAAAGTCACTATAGAACCTTACAGAAGAAACATTTCCAGTTACATGTGACGCCCAAACGCACCAATAGCTACCGCATGGAATGCAGGTGATGCTTGGGATCATCATGGGGGTCCAACCCAAGATTTGCACGACTCTGACTTTGAATGTTACAGTCATTGTGGCATTGAATTCCAGGGTGGAAACATCAGTTTAATTGTTTTAGTGACCAGAAAACAAATTTTGATATGCGTCGGCTTACCCAAAATGAAAGGTTACGTGCCCTTGGCATGCTACAGATCGGCACAACACAGGCGGTTGTGGCGCGGACGATGAATGTTTCTCAGTCTGTCATAAGCAGGCTATGGTCCAGATACCGTGATACACAATCTGTACAGGACAGACCACGCTCAGGTCGACCAAGGGCGACAACTTAAGCCCAGGATCGATTTATCCGTACCTTGGCCTTGAGAAATCGTGTCATCACAGCAAATCAGATCAGCGCTCGTCTTCAAACAGACACTGGTGTGAGAGTGAGTGGCCAGACGATTCGGAATCGACTGCATAGGGGTCACCTTCGCGCCCGACGTCCTCGCGTGATCCCTTGTTTGAGAGATCATCACATTCAGGCAAGACGTCGTTGGTGTAGGGATCGTCAACACTGGGATAATCGACGCTGGAGCAATGTGATGTTTTCAGATGAGTCAAGGTTCACTGTTGATTTTTTGGACAGACGTAGGAGGGTGTGGCGTCGTCGAAACGAGCGCTTCCAAGACGTTAACGTCATCAGACATGGTCGATTTGGGGGTGGTTCTGTTATGGTGTGGGGAGGCATCACTGTTGCTGGAAGAACGGCTTTACATGTTGTTGCAGGGCGTGTTACAGGCCAGTACTACCGGGACAACATCTTGGCAGTCCATGTTGTGCCGTTCGCACGACGTCATGGCCGCCGTTTCATCTTCCAGGATGACAACGCAAGATGTCACAGGGCCAGGATCGTTACAGGTTACCTCCAACAACAGAACATCACCACATTACCTTGGCCAGCACTGAGTCCCGACCTCTCCCCCATCGAGCATGTCTGGGACATGCTTGGACAGAGGTTACGTCAACGTCAACAACGTCCTGCCAATGTCCAAGAACTTGCTGCTGCGTTGCAACAGGAATGGGACAATCTGGACCAAAATGACCTTAGACGTCTCATTAGGAGTATGCCACGTCGGATCAATGCTTGTTTGGCAAACAGGGGAGGATTTACCCGTTACTGACTTGGTTGTGATGCTGTGGTAACTTTGCTGTTTGACCCCGGGTATCATTTTACCCTTATAATGGTCAGTCTGTGCCTTACTTAGTCTAACGATCATTTGGAATAAATCGATGAATGTGAACTTCATTTCATTTTGTCATTTGTTTCTTCGTCAGTTTCATTAGGTGACTTTAATAACACTTAAAAATCAAATATCCCCTACTTTTTTTGAATAGTATTTAAAGTGACATTAGTTAAGATTAGACAAAGAGCTGACAGTTCTAGCTCTAATAGTTAAAAAATAGATGATGAAAAGATTTGATCTTTGTAGTAATAGTTTTCTTTACCCGATGCTGATGTCCACTTTTATAAGAAATAGTGATTGTCTCCATTTTCGAGTTCACAAGAGTATCGGTCGTGTCCATTCTAACTTAGAATAAATGTAACAAAATATAATGTTGATGATCGTCTGAGCCCGTGTGTACTTAAATTAATCGTTTTATTGAAACATCTCGCTTTTATACCCACCCGCATTTATCGATTTAACTTTATGTTTCCGTATATCAATATAAACTAAAACAAAATAAATTGACCATATGCATTTCTATATACTTGCATTGGTCGAATTACTAATAGTTAAATTGTTTTTTTTTTGTTTTAATTTTCCTACTATAAACTGTATCTTTCTGTATATTTCTGTATATGAATAAAAACAAAATAAATTGACACTTGCAGATTTGTTTTTCCACAGGTCCAATCAGCGATAGTTGAATTGTTTTTTCTTATAATTTTCATACTAAAAAAATGTAGAGTGTAGATTTTTATCCGCCGTGTCTGTCACTAAATTCAATATTTTGATTGAAGTCTAATATAACAAAAACTATAGACTAGGAACCCAGTTTGCCGTCATTGCGACGATCTTAGAATTGTGACTTCGAAGAACGTCGCCCCAATAAGAACAACAAAAAGCTAAGTAGCGCTTGGGGACCTTCCCTTGATCCACAAATTTATAGGAATTTTTCGTTGTCTTCATAACAGTTCGCCAAATCTTTAGATATTTAACCTATCATTTATATGTGAATACACATTACAGTGCAGAATGGAGATGCGCCGAAAGTAATTGATGACTCTTAACGAAATAGAACAGTTACTAATTGTAACCACCAGTCAAATTCAGTCAAGGTACTGGCGACTGGGGTAATTTGTTGCATGTAAATTAAAACCTAAAGCTCGGAAAATATAAAACTATCGATATCAAGATGAAAAGTTCGTCTGTATAAACTAGTGAAATAGAATGTTAAATTCCATTTCATTCATTCATTTATAAACTAATGTTAGGAAATAAAACGACAAAATAAACCATTTTTTGACAACACCTGTTACAATTTACGAGTTAAATATGTGAACAAATATTGCTTATCGATAATTATCCATTGTACGTGTAATTATATTTATGATATAGGGGAAACAGAACAATTGTTTCGGAATGTTTCCTAAAATACCGAAGCGCAATGAAAACGCACCACTAATTTGACTGGAAGAGCTAGCTCTACAAAATATAGCTCAAAGGTGACTCTTGGCATTTTTGTTGTCTGGACATTTTACCGACACAAGAAAATCAACAATAACACACGGTGACAATAATACCTTACTTCACTGTGAATCGTGGCCAAAAAGGCTAAAATCAAAAGTCAGTAACGTGTGCATTCATATCTATAGCAGTCACACAAACCTGTAACGTCGCCGCATGGACGAGATAAGCGTCTAAATGCCTGCTTGTGAGACCCTTCTCAACTCCCTGAAATGTTGCTTCCGGATATTTTGCAGTTGAGTGCCATGCTGAAAGGTACACTGGTATTTATTATCTAAAGAATTAGAAGAAAGTGCTATTTAACGTCGACCTATCTGTATCGACCTGCCTATGTGAATTGGTGCAACGTAAGGCTGTTTTGGAGAGAGAGAGAGAGAGAGAGAGAGAGAGAGAGAGAGATGGGGTTTAACATCCACTCGACACAAACTAGGTCATTTCAGGACTAACACATGGTTTAATTTTATTTCAATAATTCGCTTGCGCGTAGGGGTCTTTAGCAGTGGGAGGAAACCGGAGGACCGGGAGAAAACCCACGAGGTTGGACAGGCGCGACCCTACTCCTTGTCACCTACAACCGGGGATTCGAAACCACGCCAGTTGACTCAATGGCAGGCCTTATGATATAGCGCGCACGTGCTAACCAATCGTCCATCCCCCCCACCCCCATATAGCCGTGACGAACAGTGCCAGCCAGCACTGATGAAACCCTCACGCGAACCTCTCACAGCAGTAGTATGAATCTTTAGTTGACACCATCTGATAGGTCAGTCTCTCACAGGGTGGTGTGCAAACCTTTGGGCGAGGCCTGTGGTAGCCTACTCATGCCCTCTTAAATTAACGCAATTACATAAATTGGTAAACTAAAAGATTATTGGAATAAATTATTTGTTTATTTACCATTTCAGTTCGGATAGTTAAATCCATTTCTTTCTTCTCGACTTCCCCTGGTGGTAACCCCATTTTGCTGGAGGATATTTACTCAAACTCTGAAAAGAAATGAATATTATATATATACGTACATGACTCTAGTCAAATTGTTCATTTGATTAATGACGTTACTGATGACGCTCAAATAATATTAAGTCAGTGTATCTATGAAGAAACAAATAAACAAGGGTCGCCAAGCAACACTTCCACCAATAAGATTCCTTTACCATACCAACATTCTACAACCAATAAAGAGCTGCGGTGGCTTAGTGAGTAAGACGTTGGCTTGCTAACCTGGAGGTCCCGTGTTCGATCCCTGAGCTGACCGAGAAAGTTCATCGGGATTTTCCGACGTGGTTCCATCTCGTCAGTGCTGCAGGACAGAAGGCCTGGCTAGGGACTGATGCCTAATTAAATTCTCGAATTATCCCCTGTCTACACGCTTTCCCGTGGATTTTATCTCAGATACTGTTGTACGTTTACATCTCACACTTTTTGCTAGTCCGCTCATCGTCAAGTTTACAACATATACACCAAACGCTCCCTGAGAGATCAGTGAGTCTTCGTGTGCAACCGTTTATGTCATTCGAGCAGACAGCCCTTAATCGTCAGGCTGCAAATTAGTGACACCCTCTCATTTTTGTCCTGTGCTTGGTCCATGTGTGTTTTTCAAGGAATCCTGTATTTTTCTAGAACGATTGGTTGCCTCTACTTTCCATATATACCAAAATTGACATATTTTTGAGGGAAATAACCACCCGATAAATACTTTTGTGAGAAAGTATCTTTAAGCGACACAATTGTAGACTTTTCGGTAATAAGTTTTATGAAAAAAGGTTATCATAATGTTAACAGTTTTATATAACAGAGTGGCTCAAATCTACGGAGCCCGGTAAGGGACGCCAAAAAAAAAAAAATATAATAATAATAACCGGCCGGATAAATAACGGGCGAGCGCCGGATAATAACTGGCGCGCGCCGGATAAATAACTGGAGCGCGCCGGATAATTTCCAATAAGAAATAGAATGAAATGGGGTTTAAAGTCCTACTGTTCTGCTCCTACTGGACTAATCAAAACGGGCATACGCCATATATAGTGCGTACTATGAGGAAAAGTTTGCCCGGGCAGCGGTACTACAGCTTACGCTTATATCGAATTCCAAAGGCCAGGGGATCATTTTCGTGCATGCCAATGTGGACACCAGACTTCGGTATTTCGTCCCATCCCAACTACTGTACGTTGACCGTAGGTTCGCTATCCAGGAGATCCCTTGTTCCATCACTGTTTTGGCAGGGGAAGTTCATCGGCATTTTCCAGCGTGGTTCCTCCTGCACCATTGATTGACAAGGAGGAACCACGCCGGAAAATCCCGAGGAACTTTCTCGGCCAACGCAGGGATGGAACACGGGACCACCTAGATAGCGGCGCGCGCCCGTTATTATCCGGCGCGCGCCGGTTATTATTATTTTTTTTTTTTTTTTTTTTTTGCGTCCCTTACCGGGCTCCGTACAAATCCCATTTCGTACACAAGAAAAATTGTTGACTATTTTTGTGGGGAAGTAGTTTTAAAGAAGCAATATTACAATCAACTACCTTCAACCTTTAAAGGAGTTAAAACATGCTTATTGAATCTTACAAACCTATACATTTCTAGAGTACACTGTTTGAAAACTCTTAATTCATAAATTGGAAGGCTACCAAAATAAAGTTTGTTTACTGTGGTAATATGGCAGCCTGTTGCAGTTATTTCATAATCTATACTTCTCACGAGAAGGCGAGAAGTTGAGAAGTCGAGGATAAAGGAGCGAGAAGTTAAGAAGATTGCAAAAAGGTGGGAACAGGTTTCCATAGTTTATAGCAAGCATCCATATAGAGAAAAAAAACAATGGATATTAGAAGAGAAGAATGCACGCACCAGAGCTAAATTAATTTGCATATTCAACAATTACTATGAACAAAGGCTGATTTATGATGACATATTTTTCTGGTATGTGTAGATTTATTGCCACTGTAAATAAATAAATCAGTTTCTAGATGAATTAATTTGAATAATAAAAGGCTGTTATATTCTACTACCTTAAAGTTTGTACTTAATACAACGATGAGGATAATAGTTCTAGTGAACGGTTATCAGGTGATGGTCATGAAGTGCGGTTTGAAATGAACAAACGCAGTACTGTCGACCCAAACTAGAAAGACGATTTCAACAAATTATTAAACAATAGATTGCAAATGTAAACAAATCGAAAAGGGTAAGCATGCTCTTCTTTATTTCAATGTATTCTGGTTATGTTGAATTTCCGCCGTTTTCAAAACGACATCCAATGGTTATTTATAAATATAATAGTTGACATTGACCCACTTTTAAACAACTTCAGAACAAAACAGCCAATCGTTTCTTTCTTAAGCAATGAATTTCGGTGAATACAGAAGTTCAGTGCCGACCTTAAATCTAATAACTCAATGTTCAAAGGGGCATTAGCTTTGGAATTTTAGGCCAGCCTCGATCTTCGTTAATAAATACAAAATCTCGATTATCCATTTTTACGTCTGATTTGGCTAGCGATGGTATCGAGAGTTGGTTATGGTCTGGATGAGTTAATTAATGTGTAATTAATAATTTAGATAACATTTCAGGCCCAAAGAAAGACCTGTAATAGACAGATTTAACTCTTGCATAATGTATGTGTAATGTAAAATAATTCCAGAATTTGAGTTGATCCTTTAATTTTTTTACAGAATTTTGGTGACTTCAAATGAATCAAAATTCTGTTTTCCAGAATTATTGTAGGTTAAACTTAGAGATACTTGATTGAAGGTTGTATATTGTATATTGTGTGAGTCGGTTTTCGAAGCTAATTTTACAAGAAACCAACAAATATACGCCTTTTTAACAATGTTTGTTCAAACAATAACCATTGACACATTATACATTGTGATAAGTAACAACTTCTAATATAGTGTAGTAAAATTTCTACACTATATCGAAATATTGATCGGGATTTTTTTTTTTTTTTTTTGTTTTTTGTTTCACATGCATCATTTTTTGGAACTCCATACACAGTTGACGGTACCTTTTCTGTAAAATGTGATGGTAAATTCTTAATCTATATAACATTCTCTTACAAACCCCATAAAATCAAGACTCTAAACTGACTAGAAGGAATAAAATCAGATCACAAAAATCGAGTTTTAATTATAACAGTAGTTTCAAAACTTTGCAGTTTTACATAAGACTGTATGTACTATAACATATTTTTTCATGATATTCTGAGGGGACCACTTTACATGTACGGGTACAGTTGACATGGAATGACCCATTATTGAATTATTGCCCTTTATTGACATAGCTATCATAGTAACTATTCTTTTCCCGTCCTAGACTTCTAAGCCACACAATCGACATAAATTCGATCCGTTTGAATTAAGAAATAAATAGACAATAATTTCACAATTTGTAAAGGTTTAAAACCACACATAACCATAATGAACAGTTAAACATGAACAGTAATTAACTTCATGGGTTGCTTGAAAATAACATTTTTTCTTCAAATGTGAAAATACTTTAAATGTCGGAATGCTAATAGCTTTTAAGAAACCAGTATTACAAACTACACACTTGTTTCATGTCTGCACGTGTCCTTGATATTCAACAGAATGGTGTCCTGTCCTGTGTATGTTATCGAAACAGGTTTTTTAAACAGTTTGATAGAGTAAGGGTTTCATTGTGTAAAAATATATGGCTTGTGCCATACATTATCTCTTACATCGGTTACCTTTATATTTCACGATGCTCAGCGTAAATCCACGAGGTTGAGAAGGCGCCCCTATCTCCAAGCCACATACGCTCACACCAGGAAACGAATCCACGACCGCAAGCTCGAAGCGCGAGACTCTAGTCACCCTATCCTCCCAATTTTGAAGCAAATCAATTGATAACTTTATACTTTCCCTCTATTGTAGCAGGATCAAATGTGGATAGAACTGGTGGATTGTATCCTTGTCATAATAATAAAGTAAGGCAGTAAACCTATTCATTTTTTTAGCGATTTTATTACTTTATTCACATCCTTTTTACCGAATGTTATCTTCTTTCACATTAATCTGTTTTAGATAAGAATCTTAACGAATCAAACCTTTGTTCATTAAAGTAGACGAAGCTACAAGTGTTGTATGGCACATCTGAACAAATTGACGCACATGTTAAGGTTGGCCACCCCTGAGCTATTGTGATTATGGTGGACACAGGATGTAAACTGGTCATTGTTTATTAATAGCCCGATGATCCCAGGTTTGATTTTCCTCATATGATTTTTTAGCAGGTTTCCCCTTGACATGGGTGGAGATCGGAGGTCTTGTCAAGGAACAGTTTCCAGTCCACTTTTGCCTTTGTCAGTTGGAATTCGGAAAATTTTCATCATAGCGCACTGAATGGCATAGCCCAGTAGGACGTAAACTGTCTACCATAACATGTATAATTCTTTCCCGGGTTTCGGAAGTCTTCAGTCGCGTGATTACCATCTGAATATGGAATGGCCAGTTAAACTGCTGTTTACTCACATGACTGAATCCGGTGAATAAGAATTAACACATGCTAAGATGACTTTCCTCTTTGGCTTATGGTATTCTATTAAATCTATTGTTCAAGCGTTGAAGATTCCATTGCCTGGTTGATAACAAGAAAATAAAGTCTAGGTGTAACGTTGCATTCTGAGAAGCTCACTACCTTAATATTAATGGGTAGACCTACTCTTAATGTAATGTGATTCCCTTTATCCACACAATATGAAATTGTGATAAACATTGAACTAAAAGGATTGAAGTGCATAAATACATGTTAGTCGTATAAATAAATAGATACTAACTAATTTCTATTTTAAAGATCACTTATAAGTACATACTTACATACCTACATACATACACGCATACATACATCATTACATCGGTGCTTAGAATTAAAAATATGTAAGATAAATTAAACACTAATGCTAGAATACAATCAAAAAGATGTGTCATTATGAATATGTATATTATATTGTGTGGAGATAACTGAATCT